CGTGATAAAAAAATAACAAACATAATATAAAAAGAAATTCTATGATGTAATTAATTTAAAACCTATAGAAAAAAATCAATATGTTCATATACAAACAATGGTTTAAAAATATATATATTTGAAAACTTCTACCCTTTCTAAAATGTAAACTTATATATATATATATATATAATGTAATATGGTTAAGAAATTCAAAACTCCCGTCACTTTAAAAAGTTTAATTGGAACCAAGATATAAAAGTTCATCATTTGGTTCAAATATATATATATATATATATATTTAGGCACACATATTTATAAGTATAGAGAGGTAAAACTTTGGTTTAGAAAAGAAGGTTAGAAAAAACCAAAAAAAATTAACGGGCCTCAAGCCCGACCCGAGATCCGACTGGCCCGGCCCGACCGGCCCGTATCCCATTTGGCCCAAGGCCCGAAAGCCCGAAGTTTAATGAGTCTACATTTTTTAGCCTCATGTCCTTATAATTTTCGGGCGGGTTCGAGCCGGGTTCCGGGCTTAATTGATATCCCTAGTTCTCGGCCCCGATCAGATCCGAAACTGATCCGAATTCTCCTGTGAACCCAAAATTCGAACTCCTGCACTCTATGTAACATGAAACATGCAATCTACACTAGATTCAATCATCAAACATGTATAGAAATCAAAGCAAATATGGATTCAAACAATTCAAATCCCAAAACGTGCGTGATCGGGTTCTACGAAATCAAAACAGAGCAACTAGGCTCTGATACCACTGTTGGGTTTCCTGGGATCTCTAGAGCGAATCCTATTCCTAAGAGATCGATTCTAGGGTTTACGCAGTGGATATAAAACAAAAATTTAATAAACCCTAGAACCATGCTTCTAATGAATCGTAGAAACGTTAGAACGCTTACCTCAATCGATCCGGGGCATGTATCAATCGAAGAACACGTCTGATCACGAAAGGCAGGAAATTACCTCGCCCTCTACACGTATCCACACTTCGGGATGGATTCCAACGCTTGGAACTTGTCTGCAAGGACTCGAATCTCTATTCGATTTTGTGCTTCAAGAAAACGAGACTCTTCAGTTTTTGAACTCTTTGGATCTCGACCAAAAGCTCTCTCAAACCTTTGAAAGTCGACACTAAAAAGTCTCTCCAGAATTAGGGTTCTAATCTCTTTCTTATAAAGTGATTTAACCCTAATTTCGATTTAATTTTCGGAAAACTGGAACCTGGAACGGACGGTCCGGAATTGCACGTGGACCGTCCGTTCCAGTAAGGCAGAACGGACGGTCTATGTTTAGTGCGGACCGTCCGTTCTATCATCCTAGAACGGACGGGCTGCGTGTTGTTGTGGACCGTCGGGTCTCGACCCGTCCGACTCGGTTTTCCGTCGTTTTCTCTCGTGCATTTGTCCTTCCCTGCGTGTGTGACCCTGTAGGCTCATTCGATATAGCAGTATAACCCGAAATCTCTATTTCGGATATACAAGTCATAGGCGGTCTCTAGCAAGACACTATGACTACCTATCTCGAATAGAGTTTGTTCGTGATAGATGATTCCGGTTGATGATCCTCTTGTATCACGATATCATATGTCGAACATAAGGCATGGACAAGCCACCTTATCTGATTCGACTGCTTTCTCGTTCACTGAGTTCGACTGTCTGAAATAGACGACGTTCGTCTATAGTGCGGCCACACATTTCTACAGTCTCGCTCACACGAGGGGCCCAGCGATATCTCTCTCTTTTACGAGAGGTACAAATCCCGTCTTGACTATCTACAATCCAGTACATGATTCGTTTCGTACCTGACACACGCCTTTATAATCCTCCTGTTACGCAGGACGTTTGACGTAATCAAAGCACGCAACTCCTCATGTTGGATTCCGTAAATATCTCAGGTCTTAGGATCCAATCATGCAACCGTCATATGAGATTCAAGTCATGACGCTAGTCCATGTGACAATCTCATGCAGGTCAATCCAGTATTCCGTTCTCCAACGAAGACCTATGACTGTGATCGTATCCAATACCTATGATCATCTATATGATCATCAATCACACATCATACTAGTCTTATTATGTCGTTATTCCCATAACGACACAAGACTAGGGAGTTTAGTATCATTCATAATGATACACGGATTTCATAACAGATCTAGTATGCTAGAACATGTAATGAATCAAATACTCTCATAAAACCCATAAAAAGTATCAATACATCAAATGTATCTAAACAAAGCTCATAAACAGTACATCATAGAGCACTAAACCAACAAGAATGTCTAAGATTCTGTAGCTGAGAAGTGAACTGCTTGATCAACGCTTCTGCTTTATCATCAAAGTCAGATCTAGTAACATTTGATCCTGGAGTATTGGTACCACCAGGCAAAAGTTCTGTGGAATCATTTGCATTAGTGTTAACCATATTGATATGGTTATTCGACATGCTTCCTCCATAATTCCTAGGCTTCTGCTGAGGTTGTCTATTCTGCCAATTCCCTTGACTTTGTCCTCCTTTATGTCCAGGAGGATATCCATGTATCTTGAAACATTTCTCAACTGTGTGATTATTCATCCCACAATGAGAACAGAACAACTTAGGTCTGGGAGAGTTCTGAAAAGAACTATTCTGAGATGAGCCAGAAAAAGGAGGTTTCGACTTGTACTGCTGGTCGACAGTTGCAGGTGGCCGGTGATGGACCGCTGCTCTCGTTTCAGGTCTACACACGAAAGATAGCTATAGCAAAAAAGAAACAGTTCACAAGTTTGAACCTGATAAGGTGTAGAAGTCTGAAATGCGACTGAATCCACAGGATGATTATAATTCAATCTCTGTTGATCCTCTTGAACTATCATGTTATACGCCCGAGAAATATCAGGCAACGGATCCAGCATCAGAATCTATCTCCGAGCCGGCTGAAAAGACTCATTCAACCTCATTAAAAACTTCACCACATTCCTTCTTTCATGAAAATCCAACCATCTTGCATCAGCATTACACATCCAGCGACCACATGTGCATCTCAGAAAAGGATCAAAGTTCTTCAACTCTTCCCATAGAGTTTTCAACTTGTTGTAATATGCATTCAGAGATGAATCTGCTTGATACAGATTATCTAACTGCAACTGTACAGAATAAATCTTCGATACATTCGTCTGTTTATAGCTTCTTTCAAGATGCTTCCAAATATCACTCGCAATGTCGAGATATATTGTCAAACTTTTGATTTCAGCAGTAACAGAGTTGTTCAACCAGGTACAAACAAGATCATTACATCGTTGCCACGCACCTGAATCAGGATGATTCTCTGGAGGACAGGCGACAGTTCCATATATGAATCCCAGCTTATTCTTCGGACTTAGTGCTTTGATTATTGATCGTGACCACAAACTGTAATTGGACTCTCCAACGAGTTTGTCCGTAGCTAGAACCAAGCTCGATGAATCTCCTGGATGGAGATACAGAGGATTCGCATATGGATCAGAAGTTGACGAAGAACCATAATGCGAACCTGAAGCCGGAATCGGTGATTCATCGGAATCAGTAGATCGCGTCGACATCAACAAAAATCAAATTCAAATCAGGACGAAAACCAAAAGAATCGACCAAGCTCTTGATACCATTTCGAATTTGTAGATCGAGAGAGAAATAAGAGAACGAACAAATCTGAGTTGTGGAAATTTTCTCTCTTATTTTCAAAAATAAAATGCCAAATCGTATTTATACAACCAGAAATACTAAACCAACTAAACCAAGCTAAATGTCACTAAACCAAAAATACTTAACCGAAAACACATAACCGAAAACAAAAAATGAGAGCTAAAGACATGGTCTTCATATAATGTTGATTTGGTCATCATGTTTAGTTTCTAAATATACAGAGGTCGAGATGTGGACCACCTTTGTCCACTTGGTTCAAATTTCCATATATATCCTTCTTCCCCGAGTGAACCCCAGACTCCAAAACGTTCCGACAAAGCTCATACACAGATCTACGGACGACACACCACTCGTACGTACGTAGTTTAATACTTGTACTGTAGTTTTGGTGTATATATACATAGTTACATACAAATATTCGGATGGCGGACCATGCCGCGGGCGAAGAGCATGCAAAACTCAACAAGTACGCCCTCGCATGCTGTATTGTTGCGTCCATCGTCTCCATCATATTCGGTTATGGTGAGTCCTTCACATTCTTGTACGATCTTATACGTTTCGTCGTCACAAATGTAAACATTCTGGATTAAGCTTTTCGTTAATGGGTTCGTTTTCTTGGCAGACACGGGAGTTATGAGCGGTGCGATGGTTTTCATCGAAGAAGATCTGAAAACGAACGATGTTCAGATCGAGATTCTTACCGGAATCCTTAATCTGTGTGCCCTCGTGGGTTCGTTGTTGGCCGGAAGAACTTCCGACATCATCGGACGTCGTTACACCATAGTTTTGGCATCCATTCTCTTCATGATCGGTTCGATTTTGATGGGTTGGGGTCCAAATTACCCGGTTCTCTTAACCGGGAGGTGTACCGCCGGTATAGGAGTTGGTTTTGCATTGATGGTTGCCCCGGTTTACTCGGCCGAAATTGCAACCGCCTCGCATAGAGGACTCCTCGCCTCCCTTCCCCATCTCTGCATCAGCATCGGAATCCTCAGTGGCTATCTGGTAAACTATTTCTTCTCCAAGTTTCCATTGCACCTCGGATGGCGGCTCATGCTCGGAATCGCCGCCGTGCCATCGCTCGTCCTCGCTTTCGGGATCCTGAAGATGCCGGAATCTCCTCGGTGGCTGATTCTCCAGGGCCGCCTCGGCGAGGCGAAGAGGATACTCACGAAGGTCTCGAATTCGCCGGAGGAGGCGGAGATCCGTTACAGGGACATCAAATCGGCGGCAGGGATCGACGACAAGATCGACGATGAGGTGGTGAAGCTCGATAACAAGAAGACACACGGAGAGGATGTCTGGAAGGATCTCATCCTCCGACCGACTCCGGCGGTCCGACGGATCCTCCTGACGGCGCTCGGGATCCACTTCTTCCAGCACGCGACAGGGATCGAGGCCGTGCTGTTGTACGGACCGAGGATCTTCAAAAAGGCAGGAATCACGGCGAAGGACAAGCTCTTCCTGGTGACGATCGGAGTAGGGTTCTTGAAGATGGTCTTCATCTTCACCGCGACGTTTCTGCTGGACAAGATCGGGAGGAGGAAGCTGCTTCTGACAAGCGTGGGAGGAATGTTCTGTGCCCTAACGGTGCTAGGGTTTGGTCTGACGATGGCGCAAAACGCAGGAGGGAAGCTCGTATGGGCGTTGGTACTGAGCATTTGCTCGGCGTACACATTCGTGGCGGTGTTCTCGATTGGGTTAGGACCGATCACGTGGGTATACAGCTCGGAGGTGTTTCCATTGAAGCTGAGAGCACAAGGAGCGAGTTTAGGAGTTGCAGTGAACAGAGTGATGAACGCGACAGTGTCGATGTCGTTCTTGTCTCTGAGCAATGCCATCACTACAGGAGGAGTGTTCTTCCTGTTCGCAGGTGTGTCGGCCGTGGCTTGGAACTTCTTCTTCTTCCTCATTCCAGAGACCAAAGGGAAGTCCCTGGAAGACATTGAGATGCTCTTCTCCAGGGAAGGTGACAACAATTCACGACGCACCACTGTTTGACCCTCTTCCTGTTTCGTTTTCGCACGAAACCAGAGGAATGGGCCGCGACCGGTTTGGTTTTACAGTGACGAACACAAGGCCCAAGATCTTTAACTGTGTTTCTTGTTGCGTAATCGTAAATTCTTTGTCTTTTAAAATCGGTATTTATCTATGCGACATGGAGAGTGTATGGTTAGCATCGGCACATGTTTTATTCAAACAATCGGGTTTTGATTTGATCGTTACACACGTAAAAATATGTGAACCGATTTAAATTATATAAAGAGGTCGGTCCATTATTAAGCAATGTCGGCCCACCGAAAATGAAAGCTTTTACTTCCGGTGCTGAACTTCAACTTCTCGATAGAGAGAGCAATCAATCAATCGAAGGAAGCCGACTCTTCCACGAATCATTATCTTTTCGATCTCGGTGGAGTTTCTGTGTCTCCGATCGAGATGAAGGACGACCATGCTTTGACAACGACGACCGGTACTACGGCGGCGGCGAATTCGAAGAAGGAGACGGCGGATTCGGCCTTGTTTGGAAAAGGTCGGTACAAGTTCTGGGCACTCGCGGCGATTTTGCTTCTCGCGTTTTGGTCGATGTTCGCCGGAACCGTCACTCTCCGTCTGTCCGATGGGAATCTGAACCGTATATCAGACGATCTCGGGTTTCAATCCTACGACAACCTCGACGTTCTGGTTTGGTCCCTGTTCCTCTGTCATCTTCTTCCTCTGGCTTTTGTGTCTCGAGGTTTTTGGCTGATTGTTGGTGCGTTTTCGAGGTCAGGAAATGGAGGAGAGGGAGAAAGTGGTGAAGCATATGTGGGATGTGTACACTAACGGCCATCGGATCAGGTTGCCGAGGTTTTGGCAGGAGGCGTTCGAAGCGGCGTACGAGGAGCTCACAAGTGATGTCCCTGGTGTTAGAGAGGCTGCCATCGGTGAGATCGCTAAGATGTCGGTCCGCTCCGTCACTCTCGATCCTCCTCCCACGGCTCGATCAATGGTAAATGTTCTTCGATTGCTGACCCTTTAGTTTCTTCAAAAATCACTAGTCGAAACTAGTAGCAGTTTGCCTTTTGCTTGATTCGAATGTGTTGAAGTCACTGATGGGAATTGAGGTTTCTATGTTTAAGTAAGTGTTAGAACACTGTGAATTGCTGATCTTGGACATGTTCCTCTCTGTTCAGTTTGATGGTTTAGCTTCTGTTGTAGCTGTAGAATGGTTATGGGATCCCCTTATACAATTTGGGTGATATTTTCTGTCACTTCCAAATTGGATTAAACTTCTTCCAAAGTCACACTCCTTTCGTGGCTCATCTTGTCCATGTGTGTAAACTTTCTGGTGTTGATCTATTTGTTGGGGAGGCTACTGGGTTTTAACTTCAACTGCATTGATGTGACTTTCTGTACAATTAAAGAGGGGTCTTTGGCAATGATGTGATCTGGTCGTTCTGTATCTAAGTGCTTTCTGGTCTTACAAATATTTGTTAGATTCTCTTCATAGAGACTCAAAAGTGTGTTGACATGTCAATGCTACATATAATATTAGTTGAGAAACCGGGGGGTCTTCTATGAATTCTAGTTGCTGAAACAGCTGTGATGTACCTAGTTTCTGATTGCAAACACCTTTTTGGGTGATTAATGGTGAGAACTTCGATTGACTTGAACTAACTTGTTCTGCTGAATTCAAGTTTGCCGCTCAAATTATGATATTAGTTTCATGGTAAGTTTCTGCTCAAAACTAGTACTAGATTTGCTTGTCTTTGCATTTGGGCGGAGTTGCTTATCAATAATACGATGTGAGTTGCCAATCTTGGAAAGTTTTGTGGTCGATGAGCTTCTTCTCTTTTTGGTTTAATGGTTGGCTTATGTTACAGGTGGAGACTGAATAAATCTATTGATTTGTCTTCTTCTTTTTTTCATGGCATAAAAGATACTTGTCTTGATCTCCTTCACATTTGGTGGTCAAATTCAATATTCAATACTCGATCACCTTAGCATCACAATGTGATATCATATGATGCAATTGATTTTCTGTTTTCATAGTATTTGCAGGTATTTCCCTTTTTTCAATCGTATGGGTTTAAAATGTTTCTCGAGCTCTCTCTAATGGACCGTCCTTACGTCGACTCTTTGTTGTAGTTGTAGGAGATTTGGACTACCTGCTTTGAACCGACTTCATATCGGTTTAGGGAGAAGGGGTCTTTGGGTGTATCTCTGTGTCAAAGTAGGTCATGGGCGAGATTTCTTTAGTAAAGAATCAAATTGTGTTTGTGTCAAATGCTTCATAGATAGTATGTGTCATCTCACCTTTGAAGAATATAAAAACTTATGCATATGTCATATTTTCACATTCCGTATCCAGGGAATTTTGAGACAACTCATGGCTTGAAGCGAACCATTATTAGTTCCACCGAATCAAATGTAGTTTCTGCTTTTGCAGTATTCGTAAACTAACCCTAGAGTCTGTTCTTTTTGTTTTTTTGTTTAAATGTTGTCCGAAGAGCGCAAGGGAATTAGGAAGGAGCCTGAAGAGAATCCTACGTAAACCAGCAGCAGGTGGCCGGTGATGGACCGCTGCTCTCGTTTCAGGTCTACACACGAAAGATAGCTATAGCAAAAAAGAAACAGTTCACAAGTTGGGAGATGGAAGTTTGTGTGAAAAAGATGGAATCTCCCTTTGAATTGAATTGTATCGATCGATAATATGACTAAAGAAATCGATGCATGATCGTCACCAACCGCTCTGTTCATTTCAGAAATTAAAAAAAGAAAAACTTTTCCAAGGCATCATGGCCATTGGCCGCATAGGGGTGGTTCGGTTATTAACCGAATAATCGAGTCGAATCGAACCAAATAAAATATAACCGTACTCGAATCGAATCCGACATAAAACCTAACGGTTATGATTTCTTTAAATTTGAAAAAATCGAAATCGAATCGAATAAAAAATAACCGAAAAAACCGAGAAAATAACTGATAATTTTTTTGAAAAACTGAATTTTTTATCGAAATCGAATCGAATCGAAGTCTATGTAAAAACCGAATAATTATAGTTTTTCTATAACCGAAATAACAGAACCTGAATATAACCGAACCCGAACCGAAACCCGAATTGGTCACCCTATTTTTTAATCTAAATCATATTTATTCAACTTGTTTTTACATTCGATTATTTGATTTTAAAAAGTTATAATCATTTAGTTTTCAAGTTAAATTCGCTTTTTTTTTATATATATATGAAATCGGTGTTGTTCAGATCCAGGCATATATGAACCCACTTGTGTATATATAACACGACACAATTTCTCCATCTCCTGGAGCAACAAATCAGTGAAGCCGGTATAAGGAGAGGGAGAGAGAGAATGAAATGTCCGTATTGTTCGTCGGCGGGTCAGGGGCGGTGCGCGACGGCGACCACAGGCCGATCGATAATGGAGTGCTCTTCCTGCGGACGCGTCGTGGAGGAGCGTCAGACGCAGAACCACCACCTCTTCCATGTCCGAGCCCAAGACACCCCTCTCTGCCTCGTCACCTCCGATCTCCAGACGGCGGCGCAGCCGCAACAGTCGCCGGAGGATGAAGAAGATCCCTTCGAGCCCACCGGATTCATCACCGCCTTCTCCACCTGGTCCCTCGAGCCCAGCCCCCTCTTCTTCCGCTCCTCCCTCTCCTTCTCCGGTTATCTCGCCGAGCTCGAGCGAACCCTGGAGCTCGCTTCTTCATCCGCGGCGAATTCGAATCCTGGTTCGGGTTCCAATTCGAATTCGTCGACGGTTGTGGTGGATAATCTTAGGGCGTATATGCAGATCATCGATGTGGCGTCGATTCTAGGGTTGGATTGCGATATCTCGGAGCACGCTTTCCAGCTGTTTAGGGATTGCTGCTCCGCCACTTGCTTGAGGAACAGAAGCGTTGAAGCTCTAGCCACTGCTTGCCTTGTTCAAGCCATAAGGGAGGCCCAGGAACCCAGAACCCTTCAGGTACGTTGCAAATTCTCTGAAATTAGGTCGTCAATTTCCTTGGAAAAAAAATGGTTGAACGTTACTGAGCCTTCGTTTCTTGCAATTACATTGTCAGGTCAATGAGATGTAGTTTCCATGTAATGTTGTAAAGCTGATGAATTGAGTTACTGGCCTTGGGTTTAGGGTTTAGGGCAAGATGTAATTGCTCATGACAGTTCTCAAGTTTTGTGTTAGAGGTCAATGCCCATGCTGGTTGAACCATATATGCCTGAGTGTTTGTGTTGATTTTGGTATTTCAGTAACTAGTGGTCTAGTAACTGCATTCGATAAGTTGCTGGAGCTTGTGCTCTTGTTGGTTCCCGAGCTTCTATGTCGGTATGCCTGTTTGTATGATCAGTATTTGACCGTCGGTGATCATTCTCAAGGCTTGGAATTACTTGTGTGATGAGTTTCTTTAACAATATGGCTCATAATTTACTCTTTGCAGACCATTTCGGTCTAACTTACATACAATCACGCTTGTATTTGCTGCATTTCGGTTTATCCTTTTGCATTGTCAGTCCATTATTTGGACATGCCTATTTTATATCTCCTGCATTGCACAACAGGAAATCTCCATTGCAGCCAATGTACCACAGAAGGAGATTGGGAAATACATAAAGATTTTGGGGGAAGCTTTACAACTAAGTCAGCCCATCAACAGTAACTCTATATCAGTTCATATGCCGAGATTCTGTACCCTCCTTCAGCTCAACAAATCTGCTCAGGTATATATAATGAATGGCGTCTTAATTGTTTTCTTAAGGCCGTAATTGCAATGCGAGCAGGAGCTATTTGAGATGCCTCGGCTCTTCCCGTATCAATCTTCTTTCCTGTCGTTGAGATCTATCATCATAGAGGTTCTCTAAGTGACAATTAAACATGTACTGGCCCCATTGCAAGCTGGGGCATTGCAGTTTCTTCAACTCTTTCTTGATTCAAGTGAGCATGATTCTAAAAGTTTGTCCTGTTTGTTTACTTAAATCTTTGTAGGAATTGGCTACACATATTGGAGAAGTTGTGATCAATAAATGTTTCTGCACTCGTAGAAATCCAATCAGTATATCAGCAGCTGCTATATATCTCGCCTGTCAGTTGGAAGATAAACGCAAGACACAGGCAGAGATCTGTAAAGTAACTGGTTTGACCGAGGTCACCCTCCGCAAAGTCTATAAGGAACTTCTAGAGAACTGGGACGATCTTCTTCCGTCCAATTACACGCCCGCTGTCCCGCCCGAGAAAGCCTTTCCAACAACCAACATCTCCACTGCCCGTTCCACAACTCCCAGGGCCGTGGATTCAGCTGAAGCGAATTCCTCCTCGGACAGAGATAAACCATCGACTAAACCGGGTGAGACATTTGATGCAGCAACCGGCTACCAACCAAAAGGCAAGGAAGATAATAAGCAGCCGAGTTTCAGACAGCCTTGGCTTCTTGGAAAACCCTCGTGTGACACCATCTCTGTAATGAACCAAGGATGCGAGAAGGGCGAGGGGAGAAAATCCCGTTCACAGGAAGCCGAGAAGCAACAGGGCGACCCGTCATCGAGTTCGGCATATATAAGGCAGCCGAGCCAGTACTCGTCATCGAACTCAGGTGTGAGCACTATCAACTGGTCATTCCGGCCATCATCTGGTGCGACCGGCTCGTCAATGAACGTGTCTGTTGTACAGCCACCACCTAAACTGCCTCCTGGCTATGCAGAGATCAGAGGTGGTGGCTGTCAAAAGACAGGAACCAAGAACCCTAACCCTAACGCAGAGTCATGAAATTATTGTAAGCCAATCTACTTTTACTTCTATGAGATCGGATCCTGCTTTCCATCTCTTTGTTATGCTCACAATTTGGCTTGAAAATAAAATCTTTAAAAAAATCCAGATCGATGTCCGTTGATGTGTGAAAATCCATATTGGAACGACACAATATTTGTCCTCATCAACATATATAACCCGTTGGAGAATCTTCGAATGGTCATCATATAGCTTGGTGGTAAATTTTTTTTTTTTCAACTCCATTGTTTTAAAACATTATTTGTGTTATATATATATACATATAGATTGTTATTGGTTTTATATGTATTCTATCATCGTATTTGCGATTTGCTTGTACGATCTTAAATAAGGAGCTTAGATCTCTGTTTTTACGGCTTGTGTGGGATTTTTCATTTTTTTTTCACGCGCAGACCGTGCGTGTGGCGCGTGAGGAGAAGGGTTAGGCGACTGTCCAGGGCTATTTTTGTCTTTTCAGTCGCAACAAAGCACACAGGTCGCAGATCTGTGCCGTTCATTTTATCCACGTTGGCCATCCCCGTCTCTCCAATCCTACGGTATCGATTCGATGCACTATTCTCAAACCCTCGTCGAGTTTTATCTCTGTTTCAGTTCGTCAGAAAGGAGAAATCAAGAAAAAAAAAAGAGAGGAAAGGAAAAAAAAATTATAAACCTAGGTTTCGCTGTTCGTCGTCTTCTTCGGAGCAAATCGGTGAAGGAGCAGTTCGTTCAAGCTGACAGAACAACTCGCTAGGGTTTTCTAGTCTGGTGATAGAGGCGAAGAAGGATCTCCGGTTTCCGTCGATTGCGTGATTATCGTTCATGCCACTCCTTGTATAATCTCTGATCACCTTGCACAAATCTTCTTCCTTGTAATCGATTAGAGAGAGAAAGCGGAGTTCTTCATTTGGGGAGTTCATTTGGAGAGGATCGTATTCGATGGATGAGATCTGGGAGAGAGCCGTAGAGACGGCGCTGGACGGACAATCGGATCCCCTGGCTGTCCGAACCCTAACTATTGACGGCGCCGTCAAGTGCTTGCAGGGGCGCCTTCCCCAGTCGGACCTCCTGGAGAGGTTCCGGAACCTCGAACATCTCTCTATGGCTAATATTGGCGCTTCTTCGCTTGAGCAGTTCCCTCGTCTTGGGAATCTCCAGAAGCTTATTCTGTCTGACAATAGGATTGCTGGTGGACTTGAGTTCCTTGTCCAAGCTGGGCTGGATTCTTTGCGCGACCTCGATTTGTCCAACAATAGGATACAGTTTGTCGAGGATTTGGTGCCTTTAGCTCAGTTGAAACTTGTCTCTCTTGATCTATATGAGTGCCCGGTGACTCGGGTTAAGGATTACCGATCTAGGGTTTTTGGGTTAATTAAATCCTTGCGGTATTTGGATAAGATGGATGCTGAGGAGAACGAGATACCGGAGTCAGATGAAGAAGAGGATGATGATGAGGGTGAGGAAGACGAGGATGATGAAGATGATCCTGGGAGTTGCGAGGTTGATGGCGAAGATAGGCCGAACAGGATGAGTAATGGCCACAGTGAAAGAATGGAGGGTGTTGTGGAGGTTGATGAGGAAGAGGAGGGTGAAGCTGATGAAGAAGAAACAGAGACAGGAAGACAGGTGAATGGGGTTAGTCACCAGGCGAACGGATTTATGGTTGAACACTTGAATGTAGATGATGAAGAAGATGATGATGGTGATGATGATGATGATGATGAATTTGGGGAGGAAGAGATTGATGAAGAGGATGGCGAGGATAATGATGACGTGGTTGAGGTGCATGAGATTGAAGATAGTGACGACGACGATGAAGAAGGGATTGAAGATGAGGAGGAGGATGAAGATGAAGAAGAGGTGGATAATGATGAGGGAGATTTTAGGGTGCCAGAGAGCAATGGGGCGCTAACAAGCACAGATGGAGAGATTGATGGTCACGAGCACGGGGAAGACGATGATGGGGATGGCGATGGTGAGACTGAGGAAGAACAACAAGGAGTAGAAGATGCTGAAGAGGAGGTGAGATCCCTAGCTTTACTTTTGTTGATTATTGTCTTGAGGAATAATACTTGCTGTTTGTTTGTGTTGGCTTTCTGATTTGCGATTTTGTCTTGTTTTAATTGATTAAATCTCCATCTAGATTGACAGTCCGTTTCCTTTTGCATTACATGCGTTCTTCTTCAACATGTTTGTTAAATTTGTGATTATAGACCCATGGGCATGTTGCTGTTTGTTGTTAAGCTTCGGCTAACTGTGGGAATGTACATACAAATAATCAATGGCAGGACGGAGGGTATGAAGGGGGATACTTGGTTCTACCTGCTGTTGCAGAGACTCTAGAAGAAGATGATGGAGAAGATGATGAAGACATCGAAGATGACAATGTTGAGGACGAAGAAGAAGAAGACGACGACGATGCAGTCCAGGTTATATGCCCTCCTTCTTCCTCTCACTTGAAGAGAAAGAGGGACGATGGTGCTGATGATGGAGGCAATTCTTCCGGGGGAGATGACGATGATGATGGTGATGGTTCCAGTGGAAACGATGATGATGATGATGATGATGATGAAGATGAAGAAGAAGATGATAGATCCAAAAGAAATCACTAGCAGTGTTTGTAGGAGTAGTAGTGGGGGAGGAGGAGGGGGGAGACATGTCATCTGTGTAGGTTTAAAAAAAAGAACGAAGTCTGTGGGGGGGGGAGATGGGGTTTTTGAAAGTCGGTTAAGACAAAAGTGTCAATTTGGCGCCCATTTGTGTTTGCGATGGCAGTTAGGGTTTTGGGTTTACCGCCTCAAAGACTTCGCCAACAAGTGAGGGGCGTTTCTTTTAATGTATTGCTTCGTGTTTTAGCCTTTTTTTTTTGTAAAAAAACATTTTTATTTAAATACCCTTTTGTGGTGTCGAGAACGGACGGTGTTGATAAGGTCATGTGGACAGGTGTGTTGCTTTTGGGGAAGTGGGGGGACGACGAGGAAAGGTAAGGATGGCAAGTCACGTGACGTGAGAGCAATGAAGGAACGGGGTTCATTCTGCCTTCCTCTGACTCACCGTCACTTCTCATTTTGATAATACCCTCTAATACACACACACACATATACATATATATAGAGAGAGAGAGAGGAGGTATGTTTGTAGGGATGCAAGAGAGATTCATAATATATATATATATATAGAGAGAGAGAGAGAGACGCATCGAGGAAAAACCCAAGCTGCTCTCTCTTTGACCATTCTTTGCATGTTAAGCCTTTTGTCTCCAAACAAAGAAAAAAAACTGCCTTCTTCGTATGGACAGAAGATGTTGATTTATGAGAGTTTTGTCCCAAAACAACACTTTGGAACACCCTCTTCACGCTTAGAAACTCTTTTACTCAAACAAATTTGTACAAGACGTAGCCCAAGGTCTTCTTGGATCTGCTCAGAAATCTCTGTTGATGTTTTGCAGGAAAGAATCTTCAGGTTATGGATCATTTCACCAAACTGATGAACTCTCACTTTGGACTGGCTAAAAGTGTTGAACATAGGACTTTCAAGTAAAAATCTTATTGAAACTTTCGCCTCTATACCAACATGTGAAGGCACCTGGTGGCTCCAGAATACGCATCAAGAGCGGCAAACTGACTGAGAAATCCGACGTTTTCTCGTTCGACATCATGTTGTTGGGACTGATTAACATGTTCTGTAAACAGGCTCATGGCCCGTGCACACGAAGACAGGAATACCAAAAACATCTTTCTCTTGACAGATTTGATGAATGTCAAAACTATCACATGATTATTCTAAGACAAAAACTAATCAAAAACTGAAAAAGTATACATAAATGTCATGCGCGAGTAATCAGTCCTAAAGATGAGACCTTGCACATGCTTCAGGCCAAGCAAAACTTTCTGACATCTTTTGGGTTTCTATGCTTTGGACACCAATCATTGAATCCACCTTGATGTTAACCAAAGAGCTTCATGTCAGATTCGACATCTTGATGTTATCAAGCGGTGAAAAGGGCTTTCTTCAAACGGGTGGGACGGCAAAGTTTCCTATTGCTGTCCTATGAATGGTTTCTGAATCCTGTGTGGTTAATATCTGAGGTATCGACATGCCACCTGATATAACGATTTCTGTCACAGCAAGATGAACACGGGCCATAAGATTATCGTCGCAGGCTAAAGAAATGAAATCCAAAACGTCTAGTCAACTGTTACCTATGCCTTCCCGGACTGATAGATTAGGCCTTATGATGTCCTTTGAGCTGATGAGGAAAATGTCTCCAAGGTAAAGATGGTTAGTGGGCACATAGACACAGAAGAGCTCTTCTCCACCAGCACGGCCACGAAGAATCACTGATGATGTTATGAAGCCAAATGCATATTCTCCCATGTGTGGATGCCTGATAATGGCTACTTCCTTGAAGGCGCCAGATCCTTGATCTGGAAAACACATGAAAGATGGTTTCAAATAGGTTATTTACGATCTTCTCGATGAGGCTACGGAAGAGGGTAGCATGCATTTTCATTCACCCGGCGAGATTGCTGCACTAATTTGTTTAGAAGCCGAGTAGATGTAGCTGATGAGGGGCATCTTCTTGATAAACCATTCTCCGATGTTGAGGACTGAAGCTCCCAGCCATGAGGACATGAATATACCCACAAGAAATATAAAGGTGATGGATGTCACAAATCCCATTCCTGCAATTTAACATCATGAAAACACATGCACAGTATTGAAGAAGCTTACATGATCGAATAATTTGATGAATATCATGGTCAGAATCCATTCAGATATTGTGTTTGAAAAGGGTTTGTCTTTCTCATCGTAGGCGATGAGTGATAACTTAAACAAGCTTACAGGTCAATGTACTAACCGAACATGTTGATGCCAAGATGGGTGTAGATTGGGGAGAAGAATCCGTCCACGAAATGAATAAACCACCAGGTGAAATAGAATGTGATAGCAATTGGAAGAAGGATAACGCTGTTAGAAAATTTTAAGGAATATCGTCATTGAATTTCGCAGAAACAACAGAACGAGTGATCAAATCAATCCGCTGGTGGTAAATGGTAATGCTGAGCTAGACATTCATGAAATTGCAGCTAAACCAGAAACAGGGCAGTCTATGTCCGAGAGTTATGAATAGAAAACCTTCAAAATCAGGAAGGAGAAGGGTTTACCATCCAGTCATAAACTTCTTGGAAGCCCAGCTACGGATGACTTTGTAAATGGCCTGATTCCACATCAAAGATCTAATTACTTTATAAACAAGTAACCCGTTTAATTTCAGGTTAAACGCATCAAAACGACATCAACTTCTGCAAAATTCCACATGGATGAAACAATCCTTCAATCGAATCCGAAAAGTAGCATCCCCCAATCGTGATTATGAAGACACCGAAACTAGGAAAAGGAAGAGGGAGGGAGAGAGAGAGAGAACCTCTTTTCCCGGAGCGTGAAGAGACGGAACGAGAGACGTCGACGGAGCCGATGGAGAGCCGTCGTCTCGGGGAAGAGGTCCGACCTTCTGCATCGGAATCAGCCGCTCCAGATCTCTCTCCCTCTCTCTTGTTCCCATTCCCTCTCCGAAACCTCAATATCAATCTCTCTCGATCTTCCCCTCTCCCGATCTCTCCAAAACCCCTCTCTCTCTCTCTCTCTCTCTCTCTCTCTCTCTCTCTCTCTCTCTCTGCGTCTCTGCTTTTGTCTCTTCTCGGGGTGTTACTGTGAGCAAGGAAGTGCCTTCGTCGGGATACGCTTACTCCTCCTCCTCCCATTCATCACAGACGAACTCCGTAACTAAACGGCTGATACGATTGGTATATTGGGCCTCAAAAGGCCCACTTATTTACTGGCCCAATTATTATTGCATTATAAGCCCATAGGATGCTGGACAAGAGCAGTACGAGCCTCACTGCTCATTTTAATTTCAAATTTGCAAGGTTTATATTTGTGTTATTATTTTAGGATTATAATAAGGGCTATTTTGTTTTATCATAGAAAAAATATATATCACTTGCGTCTGCAAAATGGCTGATGTGTATATGGACATTGATTGGAACTTTTTTCTTTGTTTTAATAATAATTAAAAAAAGATTTTTAAAAAAATATAGTAGTGATTATCCACGAGGATTCCGTTTCGCGTAGAGACAACGCAGATACTCTAAAACCGACAGCTGGTTTTACGAGAACCGCCTTTTTCTTTTTTCAACCACCGCCTCCTCACATTCAACACCCCGAAACCGAAAGGCACGTAACCTTCCACGTGTTGACATTTCACTCGTTGATCTCTTCTCCCCTCGATGAATCTTGGCCGTCCATTTCTCACAACCCTCAATATAAAGAGAGATCTTGGCCTGTTGTTCTCTTTATCTTTCTTCTAGCCGCCTCCTTGTTCCTCCTTTGATCTTTATCGTTTTCTTTAGATCTCTCTGCTATGGTACCGATTTGCGTGTTTTCGGTTGCTGAGCCTTGTAGATCGGCTCCCGATCTACGCGTTGGTATCATTTTTTGACAGGTCTGAGTTGCTTCGGTTGGTGGAATCCATCATGGCTTGAAGGCGGATCGTGTGCGTCGAGCTATGGTGCGGCGAGATCTGTTTCAGATCTGATCCCTCCGATGTAAGATCTGCTGCTCTCTGCATGTCTCAGTGATTTTTGTATTTCTTTTCCATCTCACTCTTTTCCAGAAATCTGAAGCGTCAGATCCGTCTCCATGAATTCATGTGTCTGATCTTTAGTTGTGATTTGATTCTATGCAGAGGCTTGCGTGATTTTCGAGTCTTATGCCACAGATTGCGAGATTCATAGTTACGGTCGATGTGTACAGGAGGCTGGAGGGAACGATGAATATGTGCTCGTTTAAACGAAAATATGGGTGTATAAGATGTTGCGACGATATAGCCTTGGCTTTTTGGCAGGGGCTTGAGTCCTGATTACATCTTTGTCATCCGACCTTTGCCATCGCAGGTGCGCTTGCATGGCAGGTCACCTCATCCTTAATAAAATTTTCGTTTTGTTTTAGAGGGGAGTTCGCACGGGAGTTGCCCGGGTTCTCCCCTCTCGTGTGTGCGTTGGTGTCTCGTTCCATCTCTCTCATTCGTCCCCACGTTCTCTCTTCAATACCTGCTCCGCAAATATGCCCTCACATCCATGAATGTTTGAGACAAGTCCAAACTTGCATATATTGGAACAAGATCTAAAATCAGCGGATCTGAAGTTACATCGAACCAATCTTGTTCATCATTTCACTCGGAGACAGGTATTCTTTACATGTTATATTTTATATGTTTACTTCAACCAACACCGTGTGAACTGCTCGGGTTTGATTTTCGCACAATTTTCTCATACCATCTCAGATCTCAATTGTAGATTAATTGATGTCGTTAACTGAGCGTAGGCTTAATGTTGAAGCATAGCAAGATATAATTGAATCATCGAAACAGTGAAGGTTCTTACTGTTGGTTCTGTACAGATTGTTGCATGTAGTCAGAATCGTTGGTGGGAAATTTTATTGTGTAGATGATCTGAAGCTGAAGCTCAAAGCTCTGTTGCAACGTAATATCCATCATGTTCTAAGGATCGTCAAATGGTAAATGTTAAATGATTAGTATTAGTATTATAAGAACAATATTGTTGAAAAACTGACTTGAAAATCGGAATTTTTTTATTAAGCATTTCTTACTGCCCATGGTACTGTAATCGTTAATATTTTTCATCTCTGTATTTTGCAGTATGCGTTTCAAATATTTTGTTGATATTTTTTTAGCAGTAACTAATAACTAATTTTTATGTATCCTCTGTGTTGAACTTTAGTTAACTATTTTTATGCTTGCGGTTGTAGAATCTTTGTTCTACATGTAATTGGGAGTTGTATCTTAGTATGGATTTTCATTAGCAAAAGGTTTTTAAAGGTGGATGAAGGGACTGTTGGAATGTTTACAAAATCGTCCATGTTCTACAAAGTTTGGGTTGAAGAGAGTTCTCCTAGCTTTGTGCTCCCGGGGAAAGTCTTTTTAAATTCAGAAAGCGTCAATTCTGATTACACTGTTAGAACCAAGGTTTGATGTTGGGGATGAAGGTTTTTTCGCAGCAGGTGGTGATATCATCACCTTAACATGAGTGAATCGCAACATGCTGAAGAGATGCGGGTAGGAGGCAAGTGGGACGACTTCATTTTTGCTCACCCACCGCAACCGCGACACTGAACTTTGGCTCTTTGTAATGGCCATATCTCGAAACATTGCGAGCTTTGGCTGTAGAAGTGGGGCTGAATGTGTTAGTTGAAAACTGCTAGAGGTGGTGGTTTCTCGACTTGTGTCATGTTAACACTTCCATGATAGATATGAAGTAGGCGTATTTTCTGCGCCTGTTGCATGGTAACACTCTTCTATTTTATTCAGTTCTTGTATTCCCAACGTCGAAATGCTTAATCATCGGTGGTTGGATAATCCGTTCTAATGTTTTGAGTATGCTGCTATTTGGTTTGCTTACAAGGAAAATTCTTTTCGTTTTTTTCTGCTGTTGGGGATTTTTTTTTTTTTTTTTTTTTTTTGTCGACAGTTGTTGTTGTGGCTGTGCTTTGGCTCCAACATTTTTTTATATAGTAGTTTGATATGAAGGGACCCACATGCCACGTATGAAATAGACATCCAACTATATCTCGTACGACTCAATGTAATTATATATGTAACGATTAAAGTAATGATAAAGTTGGCTCCGTGTTTCCTCAAAATTCAAATGATTTGATTTGATTCTTCGAGTGAGCCTTAAAAAGGCGAATCTCTATCGTAACAAAAAATTTAACGTTATAATCAATAAAATCAAAATGTGATCACATTATATTTTATATCTATATTATATCTATAGTCACAATTGGAGAAAAATATGTATTGAAGAATAGCAAAGTAAATGATATTTTTGATATAATGACGTCTTAGAAGGCAAATCTCTCTCGCTCATCGTTTTTTTAACAAAAAAAAGATTTATAACAACAATATAAATAAATAAATAATGGAATTCTAATTAAAAAATCCGAAGTATTTACTCTTCCATACTTCTAAAATTGTGTAAAACGAAACGAATAATATATGTCATTATCACGTACAAATCTGTTTGCTGATATTTGTCTCCGGACCAAAGTTACGCCTTCGGCTGATTTAGAGCATTAGTTTGGGGTGCCTGATTGTTTTGCGTATAGGTCAGGTCTTCTAGCCGTTGTGTCATCGAACGATGATGGTTAGTGGTATGTGAAGTCTGTTGACATATTTGTGGTAACAAGGGTGAAAAGGCTGATTTTTTTTTCTACGCTCAGAATGACGGTAGCAAAATAGTAATACTTGCAGTTTATGTGAAAATGGGCTGTGATATTGGGTCCATGGAGGCGGTGACGAGTAGATCTGTAAGCTCAAAACGGTAGAGCGCTTATCTTCTTTATCCTGAAGATGAGAGGTTGGTGGTTCGATCCCACCCAGATCTGTACATTTGTATTATGTCAGTTGTAATTGGACCAGGAAAAAAAAAATGTTGTTGGGTTATAATATTAATAAGAAAATGTCAGATTTGGATGATTCTACGAAGTAAAATACTTTATTGTTATGATTTACAATTTTTCGCTGCATATAATTTCCTATCGTCAGCGAAAAGAAAATCGTTGGTAAATCATTATGGATGCTGTCCTTCTCGTGGAAACGTCCCATAACAGCAAAACTACCTTGGACAAAGGAACAAGAAGATCAACACTGGAATCAGGTTTAGCCATGCTATGCCACAGAGATTGAAACCTTTTGGCCTCTTGAAATTGAACTCTTCTCTGTCCGTCTTTGATGAAACCGGGAGCCAACCTGTGGAAATCAAACATGATCTAACATTTATATATATATATATATATATGTCAATCACATGTTTATTATAACCATATATACACATACATATACATATACACTTGTCAGAATATGTTGATTACAAGAAGCAAAACTGAGATCAGATGTGTTTACAACAACACAAAGACATGATCTAACATTTTCCCCGAATCACTGGAATTGCATAATACCAGAAGCTGTTCCACGAAGACCATAAGAACTTAGGAAACAAGAAGCAAGCCTTCAGACCCTCAATGGCATGAGGCATCTTTGAACGACGCCGTCGGCAAGCTTGGTGAAGGACGGACCGTAATCTAGACGAACATCTCTTTCAGCAACTCGTTCACCTTAAAATCCAGGGAGTCTGAGCAAGTAACATCGTCAAGCTCCATTCCTCGGGTTTAAGAGAGGAAGAAAGGGTTTACATAACGAATATGCAAATATGTTGGGATTTGGATTCATGGAGGGGAGGTTATTTGAAATCTCTATTTGGGCCCAATAATCTATTCATGTCTATGAAGGCCCACATCAGATATGCTAATGGGCCTAAAAGATAATTTATAATAATGATAATAATAAACAAAAAGGTTGGTATGGCGCAGGCCCACTACTCTATTCTCTGTCGTTAAAAAAAAATAGTATACAGATCTTATTTTTTTAAAACTAGTTAGAACAGAATATTTCTATTATCGTAATTACTTTGTTGAAATGGGTAGATTCAGCATAAACTTTAAAATTGGAAAAAAATATCCGCTAATTGTATTTACATGTTCATAGATTCAAATGGAGTAATATATGATTATATTTTAATCGAACATAGATAAATCATGTATAAAAAAAACGAAAAATATAATAGAATTCGAAACACTTTTATCTCTGTTTAAATAATGTGGAGCAAGCAAACATCATATCAAATCAAGGAGTCGACCGTACGTCATAAAAAAGACAAATGGTCAAAAACTAATGGGGAGAAAACAGACTCAGAGAAAGGAAAAGACATCCCCCAGTTGGATCTCTTGTTGCTTTTGAGGAATGTTTTCCCCTTTTCCTTTCTCTTCTTTTTTGTTTTCCTTGTCGCAAGTCTTGGATACGATTCCAAAAGCTCGTGGTAGATCCGTAATTAATTACATTACGTCGCCTTGATCAGTACACTTGCCTCTGCATGCATGCATGCACGACGTCCACGTGGCGCTTGATTGACAGATAGACACTTAATCGTCAATCTCCTAATTCTCTTTTTCTTTTTTCCCGAGAAGTCATAAATAAATAAATGGAGGGTTTGTATTGTATTGTATTGTATTGTATGACGGATTATATAATATATGAATGATATCTGCTACGTAAATTGTGAAAATCCTAAAGAAATACGGTTTCCTGTAAAATATAAGTTTGATATGTTTATTTGATATATAATAAAGTATAAATGCCGAAGTAGTGGCACATACATACAAAGATTGGATCTCAAGTGAATATTGAAGAGGCAGATCATGTATTGTTAATTGCAGAACCTAACACTTGGTGTCTTGGGGTAATCGTAGTTTAGGGTGTCGTGTTCTACAGAAACATGGGAAAGAGGCATCTTTTCGGAAAGCGGTGGTCATCTCAACACCAATCTAATTATTCTCCTTGTTCCTCTCTCTCTCTCTCTCTCTCTCTCTCTCTCTCTCTCTCTCTCTCTCTCTCTCTCTCTCTCTCTCTCTCTCTCTCTCTCTCTCTCTCTTCCCTTTGAATCTATCATTATGATCACATTCTCTTCGGGGTTAAGGTTTCCTTTTTTTGTTGCTTTGAATCTTTAAGCCGCATCTAGTTTTGCGTCCTGTTTTTTTTAGTATATTTGATATTTTCCACCTATTTATTGTTAGATTAGAGTATCAACTTCACGTATTTAAAATTGGATAATTTAACCGGTAAAACAGATGTAAATCGTAATTTAGAGAGAAAACGTATAATCCAATTCACATGACTAATTTTCAGTCTCGAGATTAATCTGCAATTTGGTTCAAAATATTCGGTCATCAAACTCCACATACAATCTTTACAAGTCATTTAGTTCTGATAAATTCAAGTGTTGTATGCATCCTACTACGCTATTTGCAAACATTAAAGTATCCATTAAATTTTAACATGGGTTAAATTATTTTATGATCCCAGACAGCCGTTGATGCTTCATACATAAGAGAAAGTTATAAATAATGCGATCATTTATAATTATCATAACATTTTTTTTTAAAAATAGAATACAATTTCTGCTATAAGTAGGAGAAAATGGAGAGTATCTGAGTTGTTCTCCTTTAACTTTTTTTTTCCTTTTTCTTTATTATTGTTTTTTGTTTGGGGTTTAGAGTTTCCTTCTTTGACTGATCAATAGGATATCTCTCTCGTCAAGCCAAATAAAGACCCACCACAACTTGCCTTTGATCATTGCAAAGTATATTCTCACTTGAGTCTATATACGTATATATGTATATATATATATACTCCTTTACCTTTTTGCCCCTTTCTTCCCCCTACCTCTGACATTGTCTCTCGTTAACTATCCTCTCGAACCCAACGACCAAAATCTCATATTACCCATCATTGAATATTTATTTATTTTTTGCCATAATTGAATATTTAGGTGAAGATCCAATTCCCATGATTAGTAACAGCGTTATGTCATTTGAATGCATGGTCCAAAACATATTCAATGGATCATATATTATATTGGTTGGGAAGAATCGTGACGTGAGAGATAAGGAGAGGGTCTAATCAGATGGTCTTGGACTGTTGAGAGACTTGGAAGATCCTTAGAAGGAGACTGTTACTTCTCTTCAGTCACGTGGGGCTCTTTTGACCAACTCCATCTGCAGATAATTATCACTTCTTCCGCATATATATATATATATATATAATATTGCTAAATATAAAACGATATATATGTGTATGTATATGTGGAAATTAACATCATTTTTACAATCACTTTGTGTTTCTTTGTTGCCTAATATCATTCCATACATGCATTGGTGTGTTGGTGTACATCTTTCTACGACAGTGTAAAGTATATTATATATCCATAACTATAGTATTAATTTATAATTATTGATACATAAGATTGGTTGATTATAGGTTTCTCGCATGAGTAACCGAACATGGACAAGACCAACCAGTTTGGTTGGGTTACTCCTTTTGGACCATTTTTGACACAAATATATGGGGATATCATATCATACATTGTGATTTAAAACTGGATTTTTTCTGTTTCCAAAATAAAAAGTTAAAGTGATATACAAAATAATGGTAATTAAATGTTTGGTCGAGAATTAAATAATATGCTTTTATACATAAGAGGCGTACGTACAACCGTCTCTCTCTCTCTATATATATATACGTGTAATTGTATGTACGTCGTGTCTTGCATTTAACAACAGCAACGTGGACTGCCAGTTTTGCTGACTCGTCCTTCGCCATTTTCTTCACGCTATAAAAGCTACAAGACAACACCACCACAACAACACCCTCTCTCTCTCTCTCTCTCTCTCTCTCTCTCTCTCTCTCTCTCTCTCGATTACACTCTTCACTCCACGTCCAAGTCGCGGCCATTCTGTAATAACGAAAGAACCCTTCAAGTATTTTGGTCGGAAGCACTTAGGGTTCTAAGCAGAATACAATGATGGGCATGTTTTCTTCGACCTCCTACCAAGAAAACCCTTCCTTCTCCATGTTCTTCCCGTCCGAAAACGACGACGTATTCGACCACAAGGACGACCCCTACTCTTCTGTTGATTGCACTCTCTCCCTTGGAACGCCCTCCACTCGTCTAATCACCGAAGAAGATCATCATAAGCGCCGATTCAGCTCCTCTTCTACGCCTGCCTTTGGGCCGGATCTGCTGCACGGTCGCAACAGTAAAACGGCGTCGCATATGCCTCAACATTCTCACAGAAGTAACGGCCGCGGCGGCGATCCGGGCCTCGCCCGCCGGTGTGCTAACTGCGACACCACAACCACTCCTCTCTGGAGGAACGGTCCAAGAGGCCCCAAGGTAATATATATATATACCCCCCGTTTATATTTATATATCATTATACAACTCTGCAGCATATAAAAATGTCCATATAATATGGACCCTTGATGAATATATGTTTTAAAAAGCATTCTCTCATGTTTTTTTTTTTAATAATGCAATGTAGTCATTATGTAATGCGTGTGGAATCCGGTTCAAGAAGGAAGAGAGGCGTGCGACGGCGGGAAAAGCGACCTCCGGCGGAGTGTCATCGGAGGCGGCGGCGGCGGTGGGAGGAGTTCCGATGTCGGACCATCAAATGTACAACACAGGTTCAAATTATAACTACAATCAATACTACGATTCATCATCATCATCGTCCACGTGGCACCACCATGCGACGCAGGGAGTTCCCTGCAGCTATTACTCGCCGGCGGCGAACGATCACATCTTCGTCGAGGACATCAGAGACTGTGATTCCGACGCCACCGCAGCGGCTTCTTTTCTCCCCTGGAGACTTGACGTCGCCGATCAGCTTTACTAGTCAAGATTGATGGGATGTCGAAACGACGTCGGTTCGAATTTCGCCGGTCTTCTGCCTGGTCAAACCCTTTATTTTCCCCTTTCTTTTATATATTTAATTATATTATTTAGTTTGTTTTTCTTTCATGTTTTTTTATTTTTGCATCCACTTCGGTTATCTTTTCAGAGCTTTTTGAAAGTTGGATTAATGATACGTACCATATATAGCCTTTTTCATGATGTCTGCACTTCTAATTTGACCATGTTCTAAGTTTTTGGAGCCTAAGTTTTTTTTTTGGTAACGATAAGTTTTAAATAAATTGTCACGACAAATAGACTATCTGAAGACATAAAAATTTGTATATATATCTATATATAAAAAACCTGTAAAACTTGAGATCGAATCCAGCAAAAATAAATGAATTTTTCTTCCACACAAAAAAAAAAAAAGAAATCGGCGAGAAAATATCCGCAAGGGTGGTGGGATACAAATAGAGAAATTTGTCGTATTATGCTCAGATTGTGTCTGGGAAATTTGACCGTCAATTGGCCCCCCTCGTGTGCCACTACTGCTCACCTCTGTTACCGTTCCCTGCCACTGCATGTGAAGAATATTTATCCTTTTCATAATGTTTTTTTTGTTATTTTACCTTTAATATTTAAGGATTGTTTTATTCGTGATAGTGATATACTAAGATCAAAGAATATCTTACCCAAATTGATTTATTTCTTTATTATTCTCTTCTGTAACGTGTATATAAACCTTTGTACATATTATGAATCAATAATACAAAATCTTATAAACCTAAAGTGTATTATGGTATCAGAGCCGTAATTGTCGAAAGATACATCTACCCCTATCTTCTCAAAGTTTTTTGGCCGCCGTCAACATCCTCTCGCCGCCATGACCAGCAACTCCAACGCTGCCTCTGCCCAGGCTACAATTCCGACCGACAATGTCACACCATACACTGCCGATGGTCCTCTTCTCCACATCAACACGTTGAACGTGTCGAAACTCACGCCGTCAACCTACCTCACATGGAGCATTCAGATCCGAACCTTTCTACAAGGGTACGATCTCGACGTTTTTCTCGATCCAACACAAGCCCCTGCGCCAACTGTCACTGTCGCTGGTGTAGTATCGCCAAACCCAGCATACACGGCTTGGTTCCGACAGGACCGCCTTGTGTTCTCAGCCATTCTCGGCCCTCTCTCTCCATCATGCCAGGCCCTTGTTGCCTCCTCTACAACCGCACGCGCTGCTTGGACAACGCTAGCTCAGACCTACGGACGGTCGAGCCGTGGACACGTTAAGCTGATCAAGGATGCAATGCGTCGTCACATGAAATGTACACAAACGGTGGATGAATATATGCATTTCTTCAAAGCAAAAGCGGATGAACTTGCTCTCCTCGGCAAGCCTTTAGATCATGAAGATCTAATCGATCTCATTCTCGGCGGTCTTGGCGATGAATATAAACCGATCAAGGATATTGTCCTTGCTCGGGATACGGCAATCTCCTTCATCGAGCTGCATGAAAAGCTCCTTAGTCATGATGTCGACCTCATTGCGGCATCTCTCCCGGATAATCCAGTCACAACCCTCACTGCACAGTCTGGTTATCGCTCCTCATGGCGCTCATCGGGAAATACCGGCCCTCGCTCCAATGCCAACATGCGCCCCTCACGCCAAACCGCATTTTCTCACCGCCCACTGCACACTCGCGGTGCTTCTCGTGGTTACCTTGGCAAATGCCAATTGTGCGGTACTCAAGGTCACAGCGCGAGAACTTGTCGCCTACTTCCTACTCTCAATCGCAACCAAGGTGATAGCCGCTCCTCGCCGAACTCAACCCCTTGGCAACCATCGGCTCATCCGGCTGCCTTGTCTTCCCCTTCTTGGCTCCTAGACTCGGGTGCCTCTCATCACATCACCACCGACCTTGCGAATCTGTCGCTACACACTCCATATCAAGGCGGTGATGAAGTCGTCATAGGAGATGGCACCGGCCTTCCGATTACACACACGGGTTCCGCATCTCTTCCCTTTTCCTCTCGTGATATAACCCTTGACAATGTTCTCTTTGTCCCCTCTATGCATAAGAACCTCATATCCATAAACCAACTTTGTCAAACTAACAATGTATCGGTTGAATTCTTTTCACGTTTCTTTCAGGTGAAGGATCTCAACACGGGAGCAACACTCATGACCAGACCTCTGCATGATGGTGTGTATCATTGGCCGGATCGCTCCTTATCGTCGTCTTCTTTGAATAAACTCTCGGCTCTTGCACTTTCTAGTGTCAAGACGTCTTTTGCCGAGTGGCACTCTAGGCTTGGTCATCCGTCTTTGGACGTTCTTAAGAGTATTGTTTCTCGTTTTTCTTTACCTTTATCATAAAATTCTGTTTTACCGATGTCTTGTGAACCTTGCTCATTGAATAAAAGTCACAAGCTCCCATTTTCCGTTTCTTCGATTACCTCATCACGACCTCTTGATATTTTATTCTCAGATGTTTGGACATCCCCGGTTCAATCTTTTGATGGATTGAAATATTACGTCATATTTGTCGACCACTTCACACAATACACGTGGCTATATCACATACGGCATAAAAGTCATGTCTCCTCAATTTTTAAGCGCTTCAAAGCTCTTGTTGAAAATCGATTTCAATCAAGAATCGTCACCTTATACTCGGATAATGGCGGGGAATATAATGCTCTCAAAGATTTTCTCTCCTCTCATAGCATTTCTCATTTCACTTCCCCACCACATACGCCCGAACACAATGGGATCTCGGAACGCAAACATCGACACATTGTCGAAACGGGTTTAACCCTTCTCTCTCGTGCGAGTATCCCATCCGAGTTTTGGACGTATGTTTTTCCCACTGTCGTATATTTGATCAATCGCTTGTGCAGCTCGGTTCTTGGTGGACGTTCACCGTTTGAAGTTCTCTTTCAAACGCCGCCGAACTATATCAAGCTCCGGGTGTTCTGGTGTCTTTGCTTTCCGTGGCTTCAACCATATGCTCGTCACAAACTTGAACCTCGTTTCGCGCCTTGTATGTTCGTTGGTTATTCTCTTACACAAAGTGCTTATCTTTGTCTTCATGTCTCCTCTTCTCGCCTCTATGTGTCCCGCCAAGTTGAATTTGTAGAAACCGAGTTCCCCTTTACTCGTCTCCATTCGAGCTCCTCTCAACAGCTCGATTCCGTGTCTCCATCCTTCACAACGTCGTCTCTTACTCCAATCTGGCCATCGACACACACCTCATCACCGGAGCTCCTTGTTGTGATTCCCTCACCGGTAAGCAACGCTGAAAGTTCGGCCCCTACACCTCCTTTGTTGCCATCGTCTTCTCCGACCACTTTGTCATCACCATTACCATCTCACCCTGCATCACCCATGCTACCCGAACCTTTACCACAACCACAACCACCACAAAATACCCATTCCATGACCACACGCTCCAAAAACCAAATATCCAAACCAAACACGAAGTTGTCTCTCAACTCAACCGTCGAAACAACCCGGGACATGGAACCTACGTGTGTATCAAAGGCGATTAAGGATCCAAAATGGAGAAGTGCAATGACGGAGGAATTCAATGCTTTGCTACGCAACGGCACATGGAGTCTTGTTCCGGCTAAATCCTCCTACAACATTGTCGGATGTAAGTGGGTTTTTCGGATAAAATGTCTTCCTAATGGTTGTGTTGATAGGTACAAAGCAAGATTGGTTTCCAAAGGCTTTCACCAAAGACCGGGGATTGACTACACCGATACTTTCAGTCCGGTAATCAAGCACACAACCGTACGAGTTGTGCGTAGCATTGCAGTCTCCCGAGGTTGGATTCTCCGACAACTTGATGTCAATAATGCATTTCTTCAAGGGACGCATCAAGATGATGTTTATATGATGCAACCTCCGGGGTTTGTAGACAATGATCGGCCCTCCTATGTTTGCAAGCTACATAAAGCCATATATGGTCTCAAACAAGCACCCCGTGCTTGGTACAACGAGCTATGTAGCTTTCTCCTTGAGTTTGGGTTCACCAACTCACTGTCCGACACATCACTCTTCATCTTCAAGAGAGATAAGGTGATCATGTACCTCCTTGTCTACGTTGATGATCTCATCCTTACAGGAAATGACCCTAAGGCAGTACAGACATTCATCTCCACATTTGCGGTTCGATTCTCAGTGAAAGATCTCGGTGCCCTGTCATATTTTCTTGGTGTCGAAGTAAACCGCCGTTCGAATGGTCTTATGCTCAATCAACACCGGTATCTCATAGATCTTCTTCACCGACACAACATGGCTGACGCCAAGCCAGATTCGACTCCTCTACCGTCGACTTCGGCGTTGCACATCGGTTCGGGTTCTCCCCTCGACGATCCTTCTGAGTATCGTCAAATATTGGGCAGCCTGCAATATCTTGTATTCACACAACCGGATATTGCTTTCGCTGTTAACAAGCTTGCTCAGTTCATGCAGTCTCCGACCACTGACCATTGGCAAGCATTAAAGTGTGTTCTTCGATATCTCAATGGTTCTCGGTCTCTCGGCATCATAAGAGAATTCGTAATTTTATGTGGTTTTATTTACCCTACGCGTTATAATACTATTCCGAAAGAACGTCGATTCCCTTGCGATGGTCATATCGTATTTAAATATATTTCATGTCACTTGTTTTTAATATTTTTAATTTGTTATATATCAATTATCAGGATTCAATCTCAAGTCCTCTTACGCTACATGCTTACTCGGATGCCGATTGGGGAGGAAACCGAGATGATTTCACATCCACTGGAGCACACATAGTCTATCTCAGGAGTAACCCTATCTCTTGGTCTTCGAAAAAGCAGTGATTCACGGCTAAATCGTCCACCGAAGCTGAGTATAAGGCTGTCTCCTCAACTGCATCCGAGGTTCATTGGCTTGTCTCCTTACTCACCGAGCTTGGCATTCCTATTCCCGACATTCCGGTGATATATTGTGATAACATTGGAGCTACGTATCTTTCGGCAAATCCGGTATTCCATTCCCGTATGAAGCATGTTGCAATCGACTATCATTTTATTCGGGGTCTAGTTCAAGCCAAGCAACTTCGGGTGTCACATGTCTCTTCCTCCGATCAATTAGCAGATGGACTCACCAAGCCACTTCCTCGTCAGCGGTTCGAACTACTTCGTTCCAAGATCGGCCTCTCCTCCTACACCGATCTTGCGGGGGCGTGATAGTGATATACTAAGATCAATGAATATCTTACCCAAATTGATTTGTTTCCTTATTATTCTCTTCTGTAACGTGTATATAAACCTTTGTACACATTATGAATCAATAATACAAAATCTTATAAACCTAAAGTGTATTAATTCCAACCAAATATCTATAACGCATAATTCATTTATCCCACAAAATTCTATTCATCTTTGTACTTAATTATATATATATATATATATGACAAAATAAAAGCATGAACAGCAACGTTTGTAGAAAAAAAATGATGGATTAATATGCAGAATACATGACCAAAGTTATACAAACACAACCATGACCCAACAATAGGTCTTTATTTGTACAAACAACGCATGTCTATAAGGGAACGATAATTTAGGAACATTGCTCCATCGATCGATTTTTGCATATCACCGTCAATTTATCCTGCAGTAACACAAAAATTATGAATATAAAAACAGTCAATATATTGATGAATTATTAGAATGTGCAACTGATTATTATGTTTTGATTTGACAAGGGGTTATGTTTATTATAATTTTTTTCTTCATTTCTCCATTTTGTTTCATGAATATAATACATAAAATTGTTTCAAATCATTTCAGATTCTTCCCCAATTTAACACGAATGCAACTTATGACATACCAACATTATATATATATATATATATATCCAAAGTGAAGATATGGGATATATATATATATATATATTCTCAACCCTTAGAAATTTTAATTTCACACCCTATACGAACGTAAAAAAATTTTAGTGGACATAAATATGTTTTTGTTATATAACTAACTATAAAAAATTTCGGATGATTTAAGACCGAGTAATAATACACCAATCACAGTCCAAAAAAAAAAAACACATATAATTATAAGGAACGTACGTGGAACAGTCAGTGTCGGGAGACACCAAGACGTCGGTTTTAACACCGCAGTTGTTGGCAAGGTTCTTAGCCAATTCGGGCTTAACGGTAACGCCGTTAGCCACCGATTTGATGCATTTGCAAACGTCCTTTTTATCGGCGGGGGGGGGGGCACAGCAACTCGTGGGTGGGTCCCCGCTCCCGTTAACCAGGTAGTTAACGCATGGCTGTAGATCGCTTATGACCGTGCTGCATGATACCGTGGCCTCGCAAGATTTCCAAAACAAGAACATGCCTAACATGGAGATCATGAGAATTCTCGAAAGGTTATTCATGGTGAAGGGAAAATTTTTATAGATCGTGAAAATTAAAATGAGGACCAATTGTAATTAAATGAAACCCTAAGTTGTGTATATATATATATATATATGAAGGGCAAGGTAGATATTGTATGCATTGTTGGGTTTTTATTTACACAAGGTTTGGGTTGAAAATTGGAAAACATGATAGAAAAAAACGGGTAATAATATTTTTTATAGTTTCTAAAATGCAAAGAATTATATGTTGGTGGGGATGTAATGGAGTGTAAGTAACTACAAAGGCAAATGTCAAATTCTAAATTTGGTCAGACTCCTGCTTGTGTACATATATGTATAAGATTTTTATCAAAGTTATTTCCTGTCATTTGGATTTGCGTGTTATCTTTATAATTGTTTAGGTACGAAATCTATATAATCAAATGGACCCATTTCCTTAAACATGCAATTTTGAGGGATTAAATGGAAGTTGGACCCAAACATCTCTCAAAGCAATGTAGATTGCTTTTATATTCGGTTTTAATTGAAGGGTGGACATAATATTTATTGCAATGCAGAATGGACTCGGTTCACCGCTAGTCTAATTAAAACACTACGTTATATATTCGGTCCGTTTAATTAAGTTACGACTTTCGGTCCATTTTATAACATTTAATATTTGGTGGGAAAAGAAGAATTATCAAAAGGTGTGACGTATAATCACCCTAGCATTAAATATAATTAGCATTCAATTTGGCGATTAACAAAATGGATGAGTGAGTGATCCTCGGGCCATATCGAGCCTTATTATAAATGGGCCGTATTATACAAATGGGCCGTTTCTCTACCACTGGTCTTACTGGACCGTATATCGTATTGTTCCGTGGCCTTGATTCTAATTCTTGGTAAGTTGGTATAACGCCCATTATAGGGAAAAAAAAAACATTGTTAAAGTGATAATTGTAATCTCTTGTCAAATAATTCAACCATTCTATTTCCATTAGACATATGTATGTGATATAACTAGAAACGTGTTTATTTATTATATGAGAGTTCTGTGGTTTCTTGGTATGTGTGGGCCGTTAAATAACGCATATTTCCTCCATTTCATAATAGTTGACATTTTATTTATTTATTTACAATTTTAAGAAACTACAAAAAAGTCATGTATACCTTTAAAGTTGAAATATAATTAATATTTTATTAAGTTTATTGAAATTTATTAATTTTAATTAAGAATAAAATTGGAATTTATTTTAAAATTTTACCTACAAAATCTAAAATGACAACTATTTTAAAACAAAAAATTTTGTTTATAGCGTCAACTATTAAAAAACGGAGGGAGTACTTTTTATTTTTTTGATTTTCATACTAAACGTGAGATTGATCAAATCTAATCACCATTTTTATTAGTATATTTTAATGCCTTAAAATTGCACAAAATTTCGAGAGAGAGAAAAACAACAAATCGACAAATTTCAATTGGGGAGACAATTAACTAGGGCTTTGTTTAATTCGGGTCAAGGGATGCGAGACAAGAGGACGGGCTTTTGCCACGTGGCATTGTCGTGAACGCATGCATAATGCATTAACTAAGATGAATGAAGCGCATCTAATTCCAGATTAATTTTAAAATGATGCGATGATTGATCAGGTCAACATTATATAAAATATTATTATAATCGCTATCTCCCCACAACTTGATAACTCGGAAATTGTTGCACAACTGTTTGTCATTATGGATAATTTAAACTACAAGACATATTCAGCAGATGAAGAAAGCAAAGATTCTGCTGCCACGTGGTCCAACTATACTAAAATAAATTACTAAATTAATTATTAATATAACGATGAATATTATCTTTAAGTATAAAAAGCTATTTAAATATATCTTGATTAGGGAAAAAGCGAATTGTATTCTATGTATTTGTCCAGGTTATAGAAAGATATTCATCGGGTACAACATTTAGTATATTATTTAACTTTAACCTACTTAGCTGTTTGTGATTTAAAAAAAAAATACACAAAACCTAAATTAGGGCTGGTTTTAGCAGTTGGTTGTGGAATTTGGTTTTTTTTTTCAGGTTTTGTGAGTTAATTCTTACATTGGACTCCTTTTCTGTTTGTGACGCGTATGTGTAATTTTCCAATTTGTAATTGGGTTATATATTTGTTTTGATCTCAAAACATTCAAGAAAACGTCATTTGCAGATGTTGCATGTGACTAGTCCGAGGCATTTTGGATTTTTTTTTTCATAATGAACTGTAATTACAACAATTTTGAAGAAATCTTTTTTTATTTTTTTGCATCGTAAGTGCATATTAGGATCCAAGAAAATCGAAGAAAAAAATATACAAAAATATAAAGGTATTTTTTTTTAAAAAAAAACAAGGTCTTGACACAAATACATTTGAATTACAAAAGAGACGAAAAGACGTGTAAATGGATCACATTGATCATCATCATCATCATGGTTTATAGTAGGGATATCAAAACGAGCCGAGCTCTCGCGAGCTCGAGATTGACTCCTTTTTTATCGAGCCGAACCAAGAATATCTGAACCCAAACGAGCTAACTCGGCTGGCTCGCGAGCTGGCTCGGAAGCTGGAGTAAAAAAAAATATGTTGAAACTTGAAAGTGTTGATATTATTGGTATGATATTTTGATTTGGAGATAATTTTTTATATAGATTCGGATTTGAAGATGATTTTTTGTACATGGATTAGGGTCTAATGGTATATGGATGTATTAGGATCTGAAAATGGTTTTTTGTATATGGATGAATTATGATTTTATCTATTTGAAAATGATTTTTTGTATATGGATTGTGATTGTGAATATAAGTATGATTTGAATGTATTGATATGTTCTTTTTATGTTGATATATCATTTGGATATAATTTTATATAATTTGATATGATTTTTTTTAGGTATTCAGAAAAATATGAGCCGCCTCGCGAGTTAAGCGAGTTGGGTTGAATTAGGAATTTTGTGGCCCAAATAAAAATGGGCTTAATGAGTTGGGTTAAAAATGAGCTGACTCGAAACGAGTTGGTCCAAACCGGCTCATTTGACATCCCTAGTTTATAGACATTGACACCAGCCCCATTACGAGATTATCTGATAATGAAAGAAGCCATTTGACATTCTTACAACTCAACTGTCTATATACACGTTACGTATGGTTACGGCTCTCTTGCCTAGCCCCGACTGATGTAATTTCTGTAACGAACATATCTATTATGCGATGAAATTTAAAAAATCTCCATTTAATCGTGGACCAAAATGTGAATGACAGTAGAAGGGGGGGGGGGGAGTGCAGTGCAATTTAGAGCCACACGTTTTAACATAGTGGTGTAAATACGCAGAGATACGCACCATCACAGAGCGTGCAGGGCCTGTGATAGAGATTTGACGATATAACGTGGCTGTGGCTGTCTGCTACATCTCCGCAAATCTCTCCCTCTCTCTCTCTCGTTTTGTTAGTGGACTCTGTGTTCTGTATGGTCAGGCACGGACCAAGCCCACTTGCTTCACCATTTCCCTCGTTCGATTGTCTCTCGGACATTGATGCGCCACAGGAAACCTCCTCTCTCTCTAAAACTTAGAATCTAGATTGGGGTCTTCTTCTCCACTGCTTTTCATGGTAAAGATCCGTGCTTTATCTTTGTTTCGTGCTGGGTTTTGGCGCTTTCTAAGTGGGTCGGTTGATTTTTCCTTGATTATGTGCTTGTAGAGTTGAAATTAGTAAGGTTTGGTGGGTTTACACAGGAAACAAATTTATCAAAAAGTCAAAGTCAGAGTTTAAAAGCTCCGCTGCTCATCATTTGCTGATCAAAGCTTGGTGTTTTCTCTTCATCTACAGCTAGGGTTTTGATGGATCACCAAAAAGGTTTGAGCTTTGCGAAAGATTAGGGTTTGATTCGAGAAACCAAAGCTCAAAGATCAGGAATTGATCTCACAAATAGAGAGAGAGACTCAGGAAATGGAAATGGGAGAGAAAGAGAGGGAGATGGAGATGCCAAGCTCCTTCAGGTATTACACTTCATCCACTGATCACCATGGAAGAAGAAAAAAACAAGCAACTGATCATCAAACCCTATACCACCATCACCACCGTCCTCCTCCTCCGCCGCCTATCCACCACGGAGTCAGCGAGAGGAGCAAACCCACGAGCAGAGATTCCGACCCGAATCTGAACTCGGACTCGGAACCGGAACCGGTCTCTGCAACTCCCGTGTCTCCTCTTCCCAGATCACACGCAAGACCTTCTCCACCTTCCCATCTCCACCATCACCTGCGGCAGCAGAAGGTGAGATACAGAGAATGCCAACGGAACCACGCCGCGAACTCCGGCGGCCACGTCGTCGACGGCTGCGGCGAATTCATGCCCGCCGGCGAAGGGGATACGCCGGAATCTCTCCGGTGCGCGGCCTCCGACTGTCACCGGAGCTTCCACCGAAGAGAAGTTGACGGCGAACTGACGCTGAATCTCAACACGTTCGGACACTACAACGTGGTCGCCGCCACCGGGAAAGTGAGCTCTCAGAGGAACCAGGTGTTCCCTCCTCCGCGGAAGCCGCCGCCTCCGCCTCTCCTCCTCCACCACCACGCGTCTCCGATCATGATGAGTTTCGGAGGAGGCGGCGGTGGAGGACCGGCGGAGTCATCGACGGAGGATCTCAACAAGTTCCATCAGTCCTTGAGTGCTAATGGAATCGATCAGCTTCAGCAGCCGAGGAAGAGGTTTAGGACAAAGTTCAACCAAGAACAGAAGGAGAAGATGCAGGAGTTTGCGGACAAGATCGGTTGGAGAATAACCAAGCAAGACGATGAAGAACTTCAACGGTTCTGCTCTCAGATCAATGTGAGACGACAAGTGTTCAAAGTTTGGATGCACAACAATAATAAGCAAGCAGCAGCGAGGAAGAAACAGATGTAAGATCATATATACTCAAAAGCCCTAATCTTGCAGAATCTTACACATTGCAGAAGTAGAACATAAAGATGAAACTCGGATTTCATTTCAGAACCTGCGTGCAAGTAACAGTAGACAGTTCTTGAAATCTAACATCATCAAGACCTGCCACTACATGTGGGAATATACATACATACATTCAGACATATATGTGCTAGTGTTATACATAGTTTTATATGTTCATAGCTCGGCACCTCGATGTCTCATCTCGGAACCCAACTCTCCAGCAGCCTGAGAAGCTTTCTCTTTTGCAGCCTCGTAAGCATCTCTAGATTTCTGGGTCATCGTCTCCTTGGCTTCACCATATTTCTCCCCGACCTTTTCAATGGCCTCTTCGAAAGCTCTAGCCGCTTCTCCCGCGCCATCCTTGGCTTCGAACGATCTCTCTTTCGCGTACTCAACCGATCCTTCCATGGCCTCGTAACCCTTGTTCGCTTTCTCTCTCCCGTAATCCATAGCCTTCTCCATGCTTTCTTTGGCATCGTATGCTTTGTCTTCTGCCATATCTTTACCACTCCTCGACCCTTGTTTGGCTCCTTCGTATGCCCTTTCTTTAGCTTCCTGGCTCATGTCCGTTGCCATCCTTATAACATGATCACCCTTCTCGTACGCAAAGTCTTTCACTTGACCTGCTTTGTCGTATGCATAGTTCTTTGCGCTGTCCACCGCTTCCTTTGCTTCTTCTTTCTTGTTTCCAAATCCTCTACTCAGCGAAATCAAATAAACCAATCAACGAATAATATGTATCCAGACACGTGTATATGGATACACATACAAACACTGTAGAAAAATAAAATGCGGAAATAAAATAAGACAAATAGAAAAGAACGGAATTACTTTTATTGCTACATCTCTTCTTCTTCTTGTTGAATTACAATGAAAATGACTCACATATTTATAGAAAAACTATGAGACAAATAAAAAGGAAATAGAAATAAATAAGATCGATACACAATATTTGATATAATATTATATCCATTATTATTTCTAATCATATCTTAAAATTAATATTTCCTTCAATCACATATTTATTTTCCTATTTCAACATTCTCCTCAAGATTGATTTTGAAAGAATGCAAAAATCAATCTTGAAAAGATAATGCGATAAAAACCCATAGATATTTTCATTGTCTTTTGAAAAATTCATAAACACAAATTTAATTCTTTTAGAGAGTATTACCCATTTTCAAATCACTTCGCTTGACTTTGAAATTCTACCTTTAACTCTTTTTGTCATAGCACCTCGTTTGATCTTAGAGTTTTTAGGTTTGACTTCTTTTTGTCATAACACCTCGTTTGATTTTGGGTTTTTACTTTTCTTTGAACGATTTGGATATATGAATATCCAAAACTAAAAAAAAAAAAGAGATTGATAAAAAAAAGATATAGAGCAAATCGAACCAGGCTCTGATACCATGTAGAAAAATAAAATGCGGAAATAAAATAAGACAAATAGAAAAGAACGGAATTACTTTTATTGCTACATCTCTTCTTCTTCTTGTTGAATTACAATGAAAATGACTCACATATTTATAGGAAAACTATGAGACAAATAAAAAAAAATAGAAATAAATAAGATCGATACACAATATTTGATATAATATTATATCCATTATTATTTCTAATCATATCTTAAAATTAATATTTTCTACAACCTTATCATGATGCTCTTACAACCTTTAGATTAATCTTATTTCGACACGACCATGGTGACTATATATGCTCGATGCAACCGTATGAATCTGAATCCATATGGCTCTACGGAATACCACAAGCTTTACGTTTTCAATACATGGCAATACACCAAGTTATCAAGGTGTATACACACATATACACCAAGCACAACAAAGAGTTCCATTGCAGTTTAAGAATATGTGCGAGACTCACGTGGAGGTTTTGTCGGAGACCCAATCGCCCCACGACGCAGACTTGTCCTTCGCTTCTTCAAATGTCTTCGCCGCTATTTGCTTCGCCGTCTCAGCGGCGTTTCTCGCGTGCTCCGCCTCTAACCTCACCATTTCCTCCGCAGTGAATCCTCGGCACGTATCCTGCCACGTCAGCATCACCACCAGCACCAGCACCGCCGCCGCCGCTCTTTTTCCCATCATTTCGCACCCAAAAAAAGTAATGCTCCCCTTTAATTCTTCAACATTTTTTTTACTATGTTTCCGTTTTTTGTTTTTGTTTTTGTTTCTGGCAATTTTGGTGTTGTTCCTGTGAGGGAAGTTATAGAAGACGACCTCCCAAGAGCGTAGGTGCTTCGCAAGAATCGGTTGCTTTTCGCCACGTGGCTTCATCTCTGTTACGTGGCGAGCGAATAGGCGCTTTTGTCGGGGACGTTGTCGGTGTGTCTTCGCCACGTGTCATCCCGTGACTGAAGCTAGGACACGGTTGACCTCTTTCTTCGCTCGCTTCCTGAAGTAAAGAAATTTCAGAACCGGTTTAGATAACCGGACCGCTGAGTAAAGAGGAGCCCGAATTTAGAAGCCCAAGCCCATTTTTCAAATGTGTTCATGGACCCATACAGAAAACTAACCTTGGTTCGTTTTCAAACTTTATTCTTCTCTTCTTGATGAATAGACCTAAATGTCCCATACAACAATCAAGATTACACAAAATTTAACAGCTTCCGAAATAAACCAAATGGATAAAAGAAAGGGGAAAAAATCAAATCTATTTCTTGTTCTTTCTCTTAAGCCAAGAAAGGAACCTCAAAAAAAAAAAAAAAAAAAAAAAAAAAAAAAAATTAGGAAAGATTAGGCGAGCTGCGGCAAAGGTTGGATGCCTTCAGCCGCAAGTTTGGCCCTTTGGTGGTGTTCATGAACTTTGTAATCCACAATCTCTCTGAAAAGCTGTGAATCCAACGCACAATCCGGCCGGCCGTACACCGCCGCCTGTACACCGGCCAACAGCTTCGCTATTTCACGACCCGAAAAGCCGTCTGTCTTCTTTGCCGCCTCTCTGATCACATCGTCTTCGAGGTCCTCTTTCATGGTTATCTCCCTCGGTTTCTTCTTGAATAGATGGCTCCATCTTCTGGGCTCAGTGTCCTTGTCACCATTGTCTTGCCCGGACAGGTATTTGTTCAGATAGAGTCTTAGAAGCTTAAAACGTTCTTCTTCGCCGGGTATGGGGAATTCTATCACTTCGTCAATCCTGTCGGTGATTGCACTGTCGAGATCGCCGGGTCTGTTAGTGGCCAGGACCAGGACTATGTCCCGTGATTGATCACCAGTTCGGAAGAGCAACGCGTTCAGTGCACTACGTTGGGCCTCACTCATGTAAGTGCTGTTGCGCCTGCACAAGACAAAACAATGTGATAGTTAGAAACGAACTTGGTCAGGAGGAGACAGCACATGTCCTAAGAATATCAGTTGATCAGATGGTTGGTTGAAGCGAAGTATAGAATAGAGCACTTAAAAACAAAAGGACTCTCTATTCATCTTCCCTGGCTATCCTATCTTATGCAAACCCTTTAACCAGATAACTAGTAGACAGTCCTAATATGGGTGAATAAGGGCATAAGAGAAATAAAAATCATATCTTACTCGCATAGGAAAGCATCGGCTTCGTCTATGAAAAGCAGCAAACCTTTCTTGGACTTCTTAGCCCAATCAAATATCTGATGGATTTTGGTAACAGCTTGTGCAGCCAGGGGAGCAACATCTCCTCCAGTCATCATAGCATAGTCCAGACCCTGAAGCCCAATGTAACATATATTCAATATGGAATGCCGTCGCCAGTCTTGAAGCCATAAAAGACAGAGAACTAAAAACTGCATCTTCATTAAGAACGCAATAACAGATAAGGCCAGCCAATGGCTCACCGATTTCCGAGCTATCTCCCTCGCAACCATAGTTTTACCAGTACCGGGAGGCCCATAAAACAGCATGTTGCGGAATGGCGCTTGATGGGTCTTTGTATTCGCTGTAGCTCTAGCAAGATGCTCGATCCTCTTTTGTAAGGAAGGATGGACAATGACGTTTTCAAGGGGCTTTTTCCCTCCTGCAGATCCTGCTGCTGTGCTATATCCAGAGATTTTATTCTTCATTTGAGACATTGTGCCTGACCATGGAAGTCTGCCAATGGAAGATTCCCGAATAAGGGATGGTTGCCCAAGGATTCTGTTGATATAACCCCAGGTAACTCGAGCACCTTCTCTGTTGTAAATCCAAGAATCGTTACAGAAATTTAAATTAGGCTTCAGAGACCAATAGATAAAAGGGTTCAAATTGCTCCAAACAAATCAAATGATATTGTTTCAGAAGCGGATACAATATTTGATCAATCATAAGCATGAAGGCTTGCTAGACGTACTTTCTCAACATAGGAAATGGTTTGTCTAGTCAGGGATAACTACCTAGTCGTGTAAACCCCGGCAGCTAATGCTGTAGCTCCTCCGACAGTCATAATTAGCTTGTTCCTATCAGTTAATAGGGTCCTGAAGCCCCCTGTCAACACCCAATAACAGCAAACAAAGAAATGTATAATGCTACAGTTTCAGAATACAACAAGGTAAAAGCAATAAGAACACGTAAACTATTCCAAAGAAAAAGTTAATAACATCCAAATGGTTGCCTCTGAAAGATATTACCGTGAAGAGTCCTTAGTTTCCCTAAACAACTTGAGAATTGACGAGAGAAGGAACTTGCAAGAGGAGTACATAATTAGTAAATCTCTAGAACAAAGTTTACCAGATTCATACCTTCAATGTGGCTAAAGGTTGTGTTAATTGCTGCAAGCCATTTCTCTCTTTCACCGTTTACCCTATCCAAAAGCATTCTTCTATTTTGCTCCTCAGTAAGTTTGGCTTCATGAGCTCGGCCTTCAGCCTCAGCCAAGGCCTTGACACGGATTGTTTCCCTCACAATTTCGGCTCTCTCTTTCTCCGTCTGACGCTGCTGAGCTTGGATTTGTTCCTCTGTGGCTATTCTTGCTTTCTCTTTCCGGGTAGAAGACTCCTCTTGCATCTTGACCAACTCAACATTATGCCGTCTCTGAGCTTCATGATCTGTCTACAAATTAACCAAGCAAGAAAAAGATTTTTTTTTTATTGGAGCAGTGATGACGACATATATTCTTAAGACAAAACTTCAAAACAGGTACCTGCTGTCGCTTCCTTGTCAACTCATCTTCATACCGAAGCATTTGGGCTTTGGCTTGAGCTTGTTGCTGCACGAGATTTCTCTGGTCTTCGGCCAATTTCCACTGTCTGTCCTGCCAATTCAAATCCCATTCACACAATCACCGCCGTTTTCAAAGATCTGAGTTAGAGAAGTGAAGGATTTTGCATCGAACTTATGTTATGATAACCACAAAGTTAGTCACTTCAAGCCGCCAGGTCTACATCACATGGCGGGAGACGTTTAAGCGGGGAACTATGTTAAGGATTGGATACAGACAATTCTAACATCCCCAGATACACGAAGGCAGTTGTCTCGGGAGAAGACAGATAGCAACAAACAATAGATATAGATACTATTGCTCCAGGACTCGGATTTCTATGGAGAAAGTAAGGCAGAGCGAATCACTCACAATGTCAGCTTGTGCTTGAACAGCTTTATATTGAGCTTTCTCTGCATCTAGTTCAGACAAACGAGTTTTCTCTTGCTTCCTCATCAGATCAAACACCTGGCGAAGACACGAAATTTACGTGAACAAAATGAATTTCCAACACCTTTGTAAAAAAAAAAATGAATTTCCAACAGGCAACGACACGAGGAAAATGAATCTCGGGGCTCGGGGAGATTAATCACCAGTTTGGAATGGGGAGAGCTGTTGATCTCTCGAAGAGCTTTAGCGCCTCTCTCCAAGGATTCCGGGTCAAAACCCGACCCTCTTGGCTCCTCCGCCTCCGATTTAGCCTCCGTCTTAGCGCTCGACGAAGACTGATCCGTTGAAGAATTTGACGGCGGAGGCGACGGAGAGGAAGAGTAGAAGGGAAAGCGAAATGGAGAGTCAGCGTAAGCACGATTCTGAAACATTGACACTGAAGTGAACGCCGCAGCTGCCGCCGCAGCAGAGCATAATCTGGAAGCAGACATGGATGGAGACGAAGAAACAAGCTCTCTATCACCCAAAACTCAAAATTCGAGATCTGGGTATGGAGAATAAGGGTTCGATATCACGAAGATTCAGGCCGATTCTGGGTTTAGCTCTCCGTACGAAGGAGACCATAAACCCCACGGAGGCTAGGGTTTAAACGGTAATTTTCGAAGGGGATGTATGTAAAGGTCGGATATGCGTGTTCCGGTCGACTCGAGTTTTCTTTTGCTTGGAGAGCAATCAAAAGGTAGAAATGGGCCAAATTTTAGATATGGGCCCTTATTTGAGATCAGAATGTACTTTAGCTAGCGCGGGGGGACTTCGTTGTTGTTGTTTTTTTAATTTTTTTTTTTAAAAATTTTACAAAGGATGAAATAATATCTTTACAAATGTATTGATGTTTTTGGTAGCTATTCAATTTCAATAAATATGTTTTGAATTTAAAAATGGGAATATAATTCCATTTTTATATTTTTTGAATTGGATAATTTCAATTAAAATGACAAAATAATGTAAAAAATAATTAAAACTAGTAGTTATATATATATAATTATATGTGTGTGTGTGTGTGTGTGAGAGAGAGAGAGAGAGAGAGAGAGCTATGCAAACACTAAATACTCTTCGTGATGGGTATTTATGCTTAGATAAAATTTTCAAAGAGAATTGGCTTCATGGCGGATTTCAAATATTAAAGCGATTTGTTAGCATAGTAGACTTGGCATTCGATGCAGAAAGATATCCTTGAATCATTTATCACATTAAAATTTTATAATTTATAATGACAAATGAAATTAATTTTTTACATTCTTTGTGGATTTGGTTTGCGAGACTTTACCTTCTATTCGTTTGTTTCTACTTTTGTTTTGGCAAAATGAGCATATATAAACTAAAAAATAATACAACAATCTTTGTCAAAGAACAAAAATACTTAATTAAGTAGGCAATGGCATATTGTCGTTTCCATAGCAACAAAGTTACGGATATAGTTAAAATGTAAATAGACCAATTTACGGGACATTTTATTCAAATGATCCATTTGACTCGTATGAATTTAACGGGTACACCGTTCAAAAAAATAATTTTTTTTTAACAATTTATGTACCATTTTTTTTATGAAAAAAAACTTAGTTATTTTTTAAATTTGACAGATAAATTTTTTAATTAGAATTAATTATAACTGTATTTAAAATTAATTATAAAGTTGCAATGATATTTTTTTTTTAGCCAAAAAATTACACGCAAAAGGTAATGTGGTCTTTTCTCAAAAAAATTAATAGGTTAGGTTATGTTTTTGATGATATAGCCGTGAAATTGATGCGACCCAAGCGTTCATTTGAGTCAAATGCCCCCATCTACGACGAACGCTGTTTACATTCCAATCTCAAAGCTCGGCTTTACAATGTCCATGGCGGATTTCACGACATCACGATGGAAGCAAGATATCCAGGTGAGTGCAACTCTGCAATGAGGAGTTCTGCGTCTGTTCGCTAGATTTCCGCCGATTTTGATTATTCGATCTCAGTTTTGCTGGATGGATTTGTTCCATTAGGGTTTAAATTCGATGAAATCGAGTGTGTTATTTTGATCCGGTTTCTCAATTATCAGTACTCACATCATTAGCTTAGCACGAAAATGCGGGATTCTTACATAGTGGGAAGCCACACAGAAACAAAGAGATACATAGGCAATACAGTGGAATATCTTGTTCTTAGATGTTCCTTGTGTTTGGTTCTGGAGAAAGCATACTAGTTACAGAGGAACCTGCAAGAAACAAATTCCAGAAGAAGCTACATTAGGACAATGAAATCGGTATATGATAAAGACAAAAGAGACAAAACTCCCGAAAATTCGAGTCAATTGACAGTCGTAAGCGACTGAGCTTCAGATTACGGCCCCTCCCTTGCCTTAATATTTTTTAATGTCTTTATTTAGAACTTAACTGGTGGTGGTGATAGTAAAAGAGAAGCAATGCCGACATAAAACGTCTTGTCGGAAAATTTGGAGAGATCAGTTGTTTATCTGTCTTGATGGACTAGTTTATGCAATTGGCAAGACAAGGGTGGGGCATGTTATCCAGAAGGGTTGTAGGGCAATGGCTTTTTTCCGTCTACGAATTTGTTTATACAGAAAACAGGCATTGGAGAGTGGCTTAATGATCAGTTTTAAGAGTTTGACAAAACAAGCTTTTTGTGTTTCTCTTTTCCTAGAATGCTTTTGGCCCCACATTTGGATCTGCTTAAGAGGAATGGGGAAACAAAACAATGGTGTTCAATCTTAATGATGCTCGTTTAACTTAGTTACTCTGGTCAGAAACTAGATTTCCTATTAGACATTTTTTTTCTTGCTGAATAGCTGAATTTGCATAACTACATGCTTTATCTTGGAGTGAAATGGCAATAAGGCATTTGAGATGTAATCTCCGGCCTGGGTAGCAATGGATGATAAGTAGAAAAGGGGATATCATCTGTTACCTTCAGTTGCTGTTTCCGCTTTTACGGTAGTTGGGATGAGGATAGCGTCCTGACTCAATGTCATTGACATCCCTAATGAGAAGCTCGTAGTGGCGCTTTACCTCTTCAGCCGATTTTCCGCCCACTGCATTGGCAACGTTCTGCCAACGGTCGGGAGTGTCCTTGTCGTATATAGCTAGAGCCCTTTCAAACAGTTTGTTTTGCTTGGGGGTCCATGACGAGCTAGAGCTGCGGGAAGAGGTGATAGAGGTGGAAGCCATTGGTGAGAAGAGTAAAGTTCCCAACTTTTCTTTTGTTTTTGGCTGGTAGAAATTAGGAGCCGAGGGATCGGTTTCAATAATTATTGAAGTGAAAAAGAGAGGTGTACGGTGATTTGAAGAAAAGGGACGGTTTGGTTTTGGTTCGGTTCAGAGGAAGGAAGAGCTCCTTATATGTAGGAGGAAAAGCAATGGTGGGGTTAAGCCAGTTGGAAGGAATATATCCCTCCAAAGTTGAGATTTTTTGAGAATGACCCGTTCCTTTAGCCACCACAAGATATGAGAGAAGGAAACAAACGAATGAGAGCAGGAGCCTGTAGTAGTGATGATCTCTAAAGGAGATACACTTTGATTTCTTAAGAGCAGAATGAGATTCCTTGACCCTCACAGCAATAGGCAGGACATATTAATATATTTCCGTACAGTTAGGCTGGCCAGTGACATATCACTGGACCATACGCAGCAGCAAAGCCCTCTGGCTTCTTTAATCTCTTGACGCGATTTGAATCTTATCGCGTTCAAAAAAGAAGGAATCGCATCTAATGCGATTGAGATCTGACTGAACCCAAGTTCTTGTTTTTTTTATAAAAAAAAAATTACACCCTCTTGTTATTACTGTTTTTGTCTCTGAGTGTGCAAAAACAGATAGCTCAGCTAGTTTTATTTGGAGTAATAGGCTCTAGTAAATATTGAATATCCATGTCATTAGGAAAGGTAGAGAAAGTAATTGCATGGAATTCCTTCTGCAGGTGGTGTTCGGACTTCAGACATAACCGAAGACGAAGAAGAAACCGCATCCATTTTGAGAATATTCAGTTTTTTTTTTATTTTGTGGGTGTACGTATATATGTATATATATAAGTAAAAGCAAGTGGACAAATTCCAAATCTTGGGGGAAGATATATCGTCGAGTGAATCGTATCGTCGACATCTGCGCCTTTCCTACGCCTTTTGTATGCTGCTTGGTTTAGGACATAGTTTACATGCTGTGCGATTCCTCTCCACTTGCTTTTAAACAAAAAAAAACGAAGATGGACTGTAGTTCTTCTTTGGACAGTTATTTAAAAAAAAAAATCTGCTCGTACTCCTTGTATGTGTGTGTGTATGCTTTCTTAGCTTTGTGATAAAAACATTCTTTTGGCAGATACCCATTTCCCTCTCCTTCTTTCTACCTCACTCTCTTCCAACTTGGTTGGTCTCATGGAATTTTCTTATTTCACTCTTGGCAAGTGGATCCGTACCTTCACGTCCAAGCTTCGCCAACCTACCTATTAATTTAATTTCTTTATTTTTTATGAAGTGGGTACCTCGGGATATTGGGACTTCCAAAATGGGTTTTGTTGGAAACAAATTTTTTTTTGGTAGAATATGATAAATTCAACGCCTTATTTGAAATCATATAACGTCGTAAAACAAGTGTTATCTAGGTAATAAGAGAGTGGTCTAAGGGGGTAATGTTGCAGGACATGAATGTATGTCGAATCCCCGTCCGTAATGTCCAACCATATACCCTTATGGACCAACATCTCTCTCAAAAAAGTAGAGAATTTTTCTAATCGATTCTTTGATCCGATTAGATTCCAATCTTGTGAAATGCCCTCGTATTTGACGTTTTGGAAGATGCTTTCCCTGAAAACCCTCTCTATGCTCATCATTTAATAATTTCACAAATCCTTCGAATCAAGCATTTTTAATGGCGCTATTGTGGTGGGCACATCAGTTTTTTTTTTTTTTCCTTTTGGGTTTATTCAATTGCAAAAAAAAGATCGTTTTATCATCTTAATACATATATTCTGCTGACATAAGCATGAGCAAGAGCATCTAACCCTTTTTTTTTTTAATATATGCTTTTAATTTTTTTTAATTGAAATACAATCTACCTAGGGACAGGACAGGACAGGACCTTGTCCGAATGTGCCTTGGATTATTTGGGTACCGTATACTGACACGTGGAAGGTTTTCGTTCACTTCGTCTCGCGCGTCTTGTTTCGGCCCGTTTAATGAGAACTGAACTATAGGCTTCGAACCCATTAGGCCCAAGTTTAAATAAGATCTAGGCCTACTAGCTTACCGTTAAGGCCCTTGACGTCATATTTTTTTTAATAAATTTAAATTAAAACTTAATTTTCACGGGGAACTGTTAGAGAAAACATATAAAATATGTAACGTACCGAAAATAAAGGGTTACTATAAAGTTAAATTTAGAAAGGGGATCTTAACTCGTTAATTATGGCAGAGAGTTGAAATGCAGTAGCAAGTGTAATTTTATGATACAAAGAAGCTATTTGTCGTTTTACAATTAATGTTACATAAGAGAATTCGTAATTTTATGTGGTTTTATTTACCCTACGCGTTATAATACTATTCCGAAAGAACGTCGATTCCCTTGCGATGGTCATATCGTATTTAAATATATTTCATGTCACTTGTTTTTAATATTTTTAATTTGTTATATATCAATTATCAGGATTCAATCTGTTTTTTTTTATTGCAATATTTTTATTAAAAAACCTTTGTTAATAAAAAAACTTTTTTTATTATTTTGGATTCTTCTCGAATTAGATATTTTTAATTTGGTTTTAAGAATCGTATAAACTAGATTTTTTTAATAAAATTAAATTCTAAAATAATTATAGATTAATTAAAGGAAGAAAGGGCTGCATGCATGGGTCAACGGTCAATTTCGAGTGAGGGCCAGAGTTATCATACTGTGGTGAGAATGTGGGGTTCAATCACAAAACATCAGAATCTTTCCCTTTGGACCCCTTTTGTTAGCTCGCCCAATCAAACAACAGTATTTATTGCATTGGTTAAGTGTGTCCACACCATGTCATTTCTTGTTCTTACTCTTTTGAACTTAATTCTCTTCTTATACATATAAACTATACATTAATTACTTTTTAATTCCATATTCAATATCTTTTATACAACCAATTAGTTATCATTAGAAATTATAGATTAAGGTTCACCCACTAAATTATTATTATTTTTAGATTAATAGGTTTTTATTAGGACTAACATTGTTGTTTCTACAAAAAAAAAAATATTTATGGCAAATAATGTGTGTGTGGGGACAGTCAAGGTGGTCATTGTTGTGGAGAAATAAAGATTGACGAAGTAAATGGCATAGGAACAAGTCCACACAAGGCGACAGATGCATATTAACTCCTAGAGGGCCTCTTCTTCGTCTCTGTCCTGTCCCTTATGCCCACAAATCCTTCATCTTCTTCATCCTCTTCATCACCTGTCACTTTTTATTATTATTATTATTAGGACTACAAGCTTAACGACAATTCAATGATCGGGTTTTGGTGTGCAGAGTTTAAGCTACTTTGATTAAGAGATGACCTTCGGGATCAAAAGTCACATCGATTTTTTTATTACAAGAATGATTAAATTCGTTAATTAACATAATTTATATACATATATGTGTTAGGCGAGGACCTAGGTTTGAAGTTTGTCTTCATGTGTGTTGACTGTAAGGAGTGGCAGTTGCAGTTCACACTGCGGAGAAAGCCCCAGTACCGTCGGCGGTGAGTTTATTTTATCACGGGCCGTTTACTATCGTCCCATCTCTCAGATCAACGGCTCATATTTGTCTGTCTTATCCGATGGCTGTCACTCTAACGTCACAGCGTTTTACGGTTCAAATTGTTTCCTCTTGTTCTTCGTAGAGGCAGTGTGCCTTGCCTACTTCTCCAGATATTTTTCCGTGCAGATTTTTTGTCTACGAACGTCTCCCTCACACACAAGTCTGTTTTTTTTTTGACGACCCACGATTCAATCGCCTTTTTCGACCCCCCTCTAAGACGCGGTTTTTGATTTGTCGTGAAATTTAGGCGTTCTCGTTAGGGAACTCGGTTCTGTGGTCGATGTGGATTTGAGGGCTTTTCAATTTCAGAGAGCTTTGTTTTCGTGGGTCTTCCCTCTGGTCAGGGGTTTGTGGAGAAAAGGGTTTTCTTTTTAAGGATATGGGTTAAACCTCGAAGAGAAAAAAGTTGGCTACTTTTTTCATGAGAGTAACTATGTTCTTGATCTCAGCTGAAATTCTCTCTTTGTACAACCACTTGCTGCTTCCTTTGCTCATTGAAGGCCGTTCTTCGAGGGAAATACTCTGACTTTCCTGTTATTTGCTGGAGATTCTCTGTATAGTTGCGGTTCATGGTTCTAGGGCCTTTGCCCATATGTTGATTTTGGAGAAGAAAGCACTTCAGTTGAATTGGGTTGTGACACCGTGAAGACGCATGTCGTTAGGGTGAGTTGTTTTTCTTCAGTTCTGCTGAAATCATGGAGTTGTTCTAGTTTACTTCCATTTGGCTTCTGCTTATGTTCATGTTCAAGCTTTAAGAGGTTTTTAGTCTTTGATCAGTTTGCAGGTTGTAGATAACTTTGTGGTTGAGATGATGAATGATATTCCTGCAGGGTTTGGGGCCTTGCCTCGCTCCTTCAAGGTGTGAACTTTAGATCCTTGGTGCAAAGCCTCGCCGTTCTTGTTCTTGCTTGAGCATATATCATTTGTGAGCTTTGGGAATTGTTCTTCTGATATATTGTTTCTTATGCTCTGCAGATGCATTCTTCAATGTGCCTGACACTGAGACACTTAGCCATTAGAATCATGAGCATATTTCCTGATATAGAAGCAGCTCGACCTGGATGCTCATCGGGGATTCACACACTTTGCTTGTTAAACATTGCACTGGAGAAAACCAAGCTGCTTCTTCAGTATTGCAGCGAATCCAGTAAACTCTACATGGTTTGTTGATCTCATCTTTGATTATATGCTTCTATTAAATTCCGTTTTGAGCTACAATTGATTCCAAGACTTTGTTATTATCTGTCAAATCTTCTGTTCTTTCTTCAATGAGATTGATATGACCGTGTTTTGTACTATCTCTCTGTGTTTAGGACATTTCCTCACGGCATGTTGTTGTGCTGATTCGATGGCCTGAGTTGGTTATTTGCTTTTTCCATATCTCAGGCTGTAACGGGAGATGCAATACTCTCGAGAAGTTTAAGAGTGAAAAAATTGTTGGAGCAACATTTAAGGGAGATTCAAAAGATGGTACCTGTCGTTCTGGCTGTCAAGGTTGGTATGGCAGCTACATGGTATAAGTTTCTTTATGTCGTCGCAGGTTTAGTGACGGGTTTTTCTTCTGTTTGCAGATTTCCGACATCATCCATGATCTTAGGTCTGCAGAGTTTACTCTAGACGTGTCCGAAGAAGAGGCTGGGAAAGCTGTTTCAGAAATGATGAGACGGAAGGTTTCCTCATCCGTTTCCCTGGATGGTATTACGGAGTTCCATTTCGCCGCATGGAAACTTCAACTCTCAAGTCCAAATGCTGTTATCAACGAGAGAAAGTCCCTTAAGGCACTTCTCATGAAACTAGGTGAAGACAACCTGCACAAAAGAAAGATTCTGAGGTATCTTCTTTATCTTCTGCAAAAGCATGAAGAGTTCATTACTGGAGATGGGAAAGAGAACTCTTTC